GATAAAAAAATAACTTGATTTTTTTTTTTTTTGATTTTTAATAAAAATCGTAACACGACTACAAACGTGTTCAGGTTTTTTCGTTCTCTTATTTAAAACGTGCGCACTGTCGCCTGTCCGTCATAATAACAATAATAATATTATCGTGATGTTCATATATATACGAGTGTAGGTATAAATATCATATTATTATAACAAACGTGTACGCCGCATGCGATGTTTTGTTATTATAATAATTTAGATGGGACGTGATTTTTACAACCAAAAAAATAAATGCAGTATCAAATTGTGGAAATAGAAAATATTTCTCAATCGTGTATACACGGACACGGACAAGGCTTCCAGACTGTACCAGGCCGCTACAATTTTATTTAGTAAATACCTAGGTAATATGATATACTATTATATATTGGTAGGTATTATTCCGTATTCATTTGATCGATTAAAAATTATTTAAAATAAATATTGAAAGCGAATTTTCACGATGGTACATCGAAAGCAACTATGTGTATTTTGTTTAATGTTTACCTACAACTGTTTACTGATGTACCCCCCCCCCCATAATATAGGATTGATAAAGAGTTGTTTGCTCACCGCCATAAAGAATCGGGAGTAGTTAAGAATTTAAAATACATAATGCCATGTAACGAATCAATATAATACAAAAATGTTGAAAAAGGTTTTTATCGATAGTTTTGACTACAATAAAACGGTTTCGTTAACTATTCATATTATATGATTTAGGTATAACACTACGAAAATAGTATAATTTGTCAACGTTGTCGCGTTTTAATACTATTATGTTAAGTAGGTATTTTAAATATGTATTTGATACGTTACCATAATGTTTTTATTTTAGATTCTGAGTATTTGAATACCAATGAAGCTTTATTAGTTATTAGTTTTACCAAAAATGTGTATATTTTTTTTTTAATCAGTAAAAATGTACCGATTTTTTTTATCTATCAATACCCTAATAAACGTGGAATTTCCAATTAGTACCTAACGATGGTGGTACTTTATTTGAAATTTTTTTTATTTGTTTGAAGTTCCCAATAATTCACTCATATGGACCTTTTTTTGTTTTTTCTGGGAAAACACTTTTCGGTTAGTAAAAGCGTTTCGAATTATTCGCATCGTCATAGATATGGATTTTTCGCCCAGTCGTGCTTTATTCCAGAGCATTATATACGATATACCTATTCTAGATTCTCGACAGTACTTCTTCATAATTAAAAAATCCGCCAACAAACGACAATACATCGATTTTATTTTATTAGTGGTGATTTCTGCAGGATACAAATAAATTATAATAATATTATTCTCTCATGTAGGTAAGTGTAGTATTTCGGGTACCTACATATCATTAGCTAGGTGCCTATATAATTGTGGTTGCGCTTAAAAAATAATCGTCATTAATGCGAGCGCACGCGCGCGTTCTCTTATATACGAGTAATTGGCTGAAAAAAAAAACTCGCACGTTGACGTGAAATAACTAAAATGTATAAGTATAAAATAAAATGAAACCCGCTTTTATACATAATATTATATATTATTACACCGCCACTGAGGTCCATTAGAATAATATACGAATCCGTGTTCCTATAGAATATTATTATAATATATAAGCGACGAAACCGTGCCATGGGAATTTTTTTAATTCGTCCCGAACAACATTCCCGTGATCCTTGCTTGCCTACACGCGTCCGAGTATAACAAATATAATTATACAGGATGTCCCACTATGTTCGACTGTTTTTTTCTAAAGCTGTTCATATTCAATTTTGTTTAATTTTTTTTTGAACGGTATATCTATTCAATGAAAGAAAAATTAAATTTGCATTTTTATCACTCAATCCCTAAACAAAATACCTAACTTTATTTGTTCACTTAAAAACATTTTTAAAATAGCCATTTTGTGAAAAATATTATTCTACAACTTTTGATGTATCATAATGTATTCATGTCTGATCAATAATTTTTTTAGTAACAGCTATTTTAATTTCTAATATTTTCAATTTATAACACAATAAATCAAGTTATTCCTTATACCGCTACGTAGTAACCTCGTTTTTCACACCTTTTCTTTGAAAATTAAAACGGCTGTTACTAAAAACTATTATGATCAGATACATTACAAATTTTATAATAATATATTTTACTAAATTACTATTCTGAAAATTTTGTAGTCAATGAACAAAGTTTTTTTTTTAGAAATTAGGGGATGAAAATAAATTCAATTTTCCTCTATATATAGGTGTCCCCTTTAAATAAAAGCAGAATAAACACAACAATTTTAAAAATTGAATATTAACAGACCTCGAAAAATCCGTCGAATACGGTGGGACACCTTGTATATAATACTTGTACACAGTTAAATATTGCGTTCTCTTGGCCCATGGTACGTGTATATTAAAAGCCGCGTCGTATTATTATACTTGGACTCGGGTCACATACTGTTATTGTAAGTAAAATAATAATAATATATTATAATTTATAATAAATATGCTAGCACACGGAGTATGCGTACTGGGTATTATGGGTACCTATTTATAATACTAAAATATAAGTATAATAGGTATACATAGGTACAAAATAATTTTGAATATATTCGTGATTATTACCAGCAGTGCTCGATTTGGGGGACAAAAATGTAATGTAATGTACCTACCAACTAAACAAAATTCTTCAATTTGTATCGCTATAATAATTAATACATACATTTAAACTTTATGCACAATTTTGAATTGTTTTTTTTACGATAACTTTACTACAAGTATCTATTCAAATTATTCAGTATTTTATTGTAATAAACTATTAAGTGCTAGTCATTTGTACGCCTATAGTTTTTTCCCAGTTGAACATTGCTAGAATCCAGTACAGGTATCGAGAATTCGAGACCAATTGTCGTGTACCCATTCACATATAGATCGCGTAATACGTACTCTAAAAATATGATGAGCTTACAGAAACTTGCTAGTTTTTTTCAAACTGATTATAAATCATTGTGCAGAATAGATTCACTTAATAAATTATACGAGGTGTAGTTAAAGAGTTCCAAGACTGTTTGAATTGCGCGCCAGGAGCGTCCAAGGACCAAGAGTAGTAGGATTGAAATCACTGGGTTTTATAATTTCTTCGAAGTACCTATATCTGTACTGGTAGATTCTCTATAACTTTCTTTGTTATGGTGTGACCGATGTTTTCTTAAAATATTTTATTCGCATTTGGCGATTTTGTAATAAATCCAAAGGAAAGCTTTAGGGGGGTGGGAAGTAATTAGTTGGAGAAGATTTTTCTTTCATTTTTGTAATAACATAATATGATACAAGTAACGATTATTATTATGATAAATTGTCAAAATGTTTTCAATGTCAATTTATCATACTAAAAAGTTCCTGATTAACCTAAGCTTGGACCTTCCTCCACATTCTCGAAAAAAACTTTCACTCGACACATCTGCAATTTTTCAGTTGTAATTTGTTTGCAAAAGTCGTGTGAAACTTTGCATTCCTCTATCTAACAAGATTCAATAAAATGGAAGGAAACCCTCAACCCACTTTCCCCTCAAAAAGCTTTTCTTTTAGATTTATTACAAAATCGCCAAATTCAAAAAAAGTATTTTACAAAAACGTTGATGATGTCAAAACAAAGAAGGTTATAGATACACAGAACCCAGTGATATAAATTCTTTTGCTCTTGGACACACCGTTGGCACGTAATTCAAAAAGTCCTGGAACTTTTTAATCACACCTCGTACATTATGATTGAATTTTATATTCAAACTGCTATACATAACGACACTAACCGCCAAATACAGTGAAGAAAAAATGTCTTCTAACTGATTTACTACCTACCTACTAACTCATTGTATCAGTGATGTAATTAGCTAGGGGGAGTTTCGGGTATCTGGACAACCCTTCCTATTCATGTTTAAGTAATATAAATGTATTAAAATGTGTGAAATTACTTGTTTTTTTTTTTTTTCTAATGGACAGGATATGTGAGACCCTATTCGACAAATCCTGGTTGCGCCACTGCAATGTATGATTTTACATTCACAACTTCTGAAAAACACGTAACTTTAAAAAAACGCTTCTGGTCCGATATACGCGATCAAACAAATTTATTTATTTGTGTATTCAACTGTTAAAACTGCCAACTACGCTTTTAACTAGGCATCTAAGCCGCAATGGTGTAAAGTGGTCTCAATTTATGGTGGTACAGTTACAGTGAATTAATATTTAAATAAATTTCCAACTTTCAAATTACTTCAGCTCTCTTGGTAAATCCCTGTCTAATAATCGATTCAATTGAACACATATTCTATCATATATTTCTTAAAAAATTGAGAAGCCGAATTCTTTTGATGGTTGGATGGTACTTACCCAATATACAATCACCATACCTAATCTAAATTAAGTATTCTCAATTGATCAATGACCATAGGTAGGTTAAAGAAAATGTCTAGTTTTTATACCACATTTGGGATTAATGCCAAAAATGCTATTTTTCAAGTTTTACCTATAAATGTAAGTATGATAGGTAAGTTTTGATTATACCGATGAATTAATCATTAAAAACACACATTTTGAAAAAAAAAAATCGCGAGGAAGCTAAACAAGAGTTATGCCTGATTATCAAATCAAAAATCCGAAATTCGTATCACTACACCAAACTACATACCTTCCGACAATAATATTATAATACATTATATTATTATTTTTTTTTTTTCACAAATGGTGTAGTATAATAGGTAGGTACCCACTCGTGCGGACCGGCCGGTATCTATATAATAACGCATGATATAGACGCTGCCGGTTCGCTGAAATCAAAACTCCGTAATATTATAATATTACGCGTGTGCGTGTGCGTTTAATGCATTTCCGGCTTTCCCGAAGCAATAATGGCATCACTGTAAATAATATATTCCGTGATTCTGCACCGGGTACCTATAGGCAAGTAACAATAATACTAAATTCGTTTGTCGCTGCCGCCGTCGAAAACCAGGTGATTTTTGTTTACCAACGCTCGTTCCCAACCTCCTGTTGATACACACGGTAGAACAGTCGCACGCACACGCGCAAGCGCACAGAGAATCGCGCGCACAAAACCGATATCCATTCGGTGTGATAATATCGAAACGGCGGACCGTATTCCGTGTTTCCGCAATAACGTAATACGTAATATTATTATTTATTATTTTACCGTGCCGTATTTCGTTTTGTTTTTCGCGATAACATACGGCGAATGGTACACGTACGCGTGCACGCTGCGTGTGCCGTATGTTGTGTCGTGCCCGTGCGTACGGAGCGTCGAACGCTCGAATCACCCGTCCAGTAATGTTGTAGCCGCCGATCGGTTTTCGCCGTTGCCGTTGCCGTTGCCGTTACCCCGGCCATGTACGCCGGCGATATTCGGTATAATAGTAATAGATGATTGTGGTCCTTTTCAGCGGACACCGCGATGGACTACTACAAGATGTGCCAGCGTTTCGGACTGGCCTCTGTGCCCAGTCCAGATGGCCGGTTCACCATCGACGAACTCATCGGCGAGGGCACGTACGGAGAAGTTTTCAGAGCCAGAGACACTGTGACCGGTAACAATAACATTAAATTTTACCTCTGCACCGCGATCAGGTATTGGGTAGTAGTCAGTGGCGGTTACCCGGGTACAGTGCAGAATAATAATATTATATTGTATCAATAAGTAAAATATGTTGTCACTCAACTCACAGTTCACTAAAAATGTTTTTTTATAGGTGGGCACATGTAGTCATATCTGGGCAAATTACTCAATTTTAATAATATCGTACCTAAGTTACAGTTACTGTATTTTTTTATTAGTGTTTACTGTAGATGTTAAGAGTTACTTTTAAGATAAAAGTAACTATAGTTGAATTACTGAAAATCAACTGAATAATTAATACTTTTATTACTTTATTAGATACCTGTAGTTATTAAGAGGAAATATAGCTTTTGTGTAAATTTGTATCTAACTAGTTACTACTCAGATTTACCTACTTATAGTTGTACCCTCTATGTGTTTGAATACTTTTTTATTTTGAGTTGTTATTACTTTCATCATTGTTTCAGGAGAAAATGTAGCCATTAAAATATTAGAAGATATTGCGGGCAACGAGGAAGAAATCGAAGACGAATATCTGGCATTGAGAGATCTCAGTTTGCATCCAAACATTCCTTCTTTCCATGGAATTTATTTTGTCAAAGGTTCCAAACAACTCAACGATCAATTATGGTTCGTTATGGAGGTGAGTCGTATTATTTTAAATATTCATAAAGCACCTATTATTTTTGCTCGTACTGTGTTAAAAGTTTTAATATTATAATTAGTAGGTACCTTTATTTGTTCATTGGTTTTATAAAATGTATTCATTTTGTAGTAAACTATTTAAATTTACTCTATAACAATATTTCAATGTGAGGTGCTTAAACCAAATTTACGATATTATTGATAACTTAAATATTTGATCTCACATTGTAATACAGAAAACGGGATTAAAAGATAATTTATTTTTATTTGCATAAGGTATATAATATATTTTTCCTATGTTCCTATCTACCTAGTTTTTTCAATCAAATAGTTTTAAAATAAAACTTTACTTATAGGTAGGTACAACTGAATATTATTGCTAGTAAAACTATGTTTAACCATCTATTTATTTTTAGTGATAATTATCTCTAAATTAACAACTCATTAGAGTTAATTAACCTATTAAGGTAAGCCTGAAATGTTTGATTTTGTCTTTTAGGGTTTGCACTAGTTTATATTATTATTTTATTATCTTTAATAATTAAATAATGAACATTGATTTTATTTCTGAAACTCAAAAGTTAAATTAAAAGAAAGAAAATATAAAAAACAGTTTTTGTATTCTAATTATAAAATTGTTTTGTAATTAATTATATATGTGATAATAAATTCAGTGTTCAACTTATTAAAATGGTCGCATATTATGTACATTGCAATATGATCAAAGATCTCGTGTTGATCAGATATAATAGGTAATTAAACGCAACATTTTATTATATAAGTGATTTAACTACAACTTATTTCATAAAAATCCAATGCTACAATAATATTTTTTGTCAAAATGATTTATTCATTAGTTTTAATTTGTAATATTACATGAAAAAAAAAAATTGAATAAATAATGTTATAATACTTATCTTCAATTAGGTATTTAATTTACCATGATATAGATAACATATTGTGTATTAACTTGAGTAGGTATCATTTAACCATATACACTATACATATTGAAACTAAGATAAATTATTACTGCTCTAAGTTGGCCATGGTTATAGTTAAGCAATTGGAAAGGTGGGATGTATAGATTAATTCACTAATTTAGTTTATCCTAACTTAAAATTATAAATGTGAAATTAAGTCTGTCTTTTATGTTTTCATGCATAGGTTGCTGAACAAATTTTCATGCATTTTGGTATACAAATAGGACTTTGGAAAAAAACATAAGCTATTTTTTGTCACCAAAATAAAATTTGAAGAAGATGAAAGGTCTTTAGGTATTATAGGTACAAAAATAAAACTAGAACACTTTTATTTTATTTGTCACCAATTTTTTTCATTTAAAATACTGATATGAGCAAAGCAAAACTGGAATAAAGTTAAAAATAATATAAAATTGGCGCTGGCAATGTCGAGCACCGGACAGCTAATATACTATAATATGAAATGATTAATAATTACAAACCAAAAAGATTCTGAGAAAAATTCATACATAGCTATCTTAAAATTGGTTTAGGTATTTCTAAAATAATATTTTGAAAATTATAATATAAAATATTTGTAATTTCGTGAAATTATCAGACCTCTAAAATTATTGTTATTAAATTACAACAAAATCGATTTTAAAAATATTGTTGTTCCATAAATATTTAAGCTTTTTCCCCATTATAAAAAAAAAAGATAGATAAACTTCCTTCAACAAGTATCTTTCTCTAAAATTTTAATATCTACGTTTCTTATTCTTAAATTATTTGTTACAGTCATATATGCCAAATACATTTTTAATTACTAAAATTGTATAAATTGATAGATACCTATATTTTGTAAGCCTTCTGAGATAAAAATATATTAAATATTCAAAAAGGCATTTGACTAAATGTAGTTATAATAATAAACTTATGCATTTGTACCAACATTTCTAGACAGCCAATCTTTACCAATCTGGTTACCTATAAATTAATACTATATAATTTTTAAGGAATGTTATCTTAATTTGTGTTGCACTTCATTATTTATATTACAGTAAATATTAATATCTGTGTATCAGAAATATTGTTTTAATACGAATATAATACTTATACTTTACTATTGTAAATCCTATTTAGAAAAAAAAATTAATTTATTACATTATAAATAATAGTATTATGTATAATGTTCACTTCAAAGACCATTACAACACACTAGAACACACTTAGTAATAGAAAAACAAGTTTCCAATAATTGTATCAGTATTTAGAATCATTTTTATTCTAAATATAGTATATCATACAATTACCCTTATAGAAATAATTTTTAAATGAAAAAATAAGGTGATACTGCTGACGGGTGTACCGCTGTTATAGATGAGAAATTAAAAAGGTATAGTGAATTGACTTATTTAATTTATATCTGAACCTTATGATAAATCATTGCTAATGAAAAACGATTCTGAGTGTTAACCATGCTTTGAAATGCGGCAATTTTTAATGATTTTCATCAAAATTTAAACACAAAATAAATCTATTAGATACATTTTTACCATTAAGTAAATCTTCATTGAAGATGTATATATTAGATATGATTGGGTATAATGTATTCAATAGTTTTTTTTTGTGTGCGAATTTAAATTTTGACAAAATCATTAAAAATTGACGCATTTCAAAACATTGTGAACCCTTAGAATTGTTTTTCATTAGCAATGATTTACCGTTGAGTTCAGATGTAAATTAAATAAGTCAATTTATTCTACCTTTCTAAGCTCTCGTCTATAACAGCAGTATACTCGTTAATGAAAATTGTATTAAATTTTCAAGCATTTAAAACTAGCCCAACAAATCCAAGTGAAAAATAAAGAAAAACTCAAAAATATCAAATGCTTATAAATAAAAAAGTTATTATAAGTATTCTATAATAATTTCAGGTATCTACAATTATTTTTAACCAAATCACAACAGTAACCAAAATAAATAAACCATTATTGTTCTAATTTTCCCCTGTTTTCAACAATTATTAAGAATACCTTCCCAATTCACCATCTAGATAAAATTTTGTTTCAGGAAAATGCTACACATAAAAGTCAGATCTAAATTTCTGGTAGTAAACTTATTATCAGGGAAAAAAAAAAAAATTATTTAAACCAATACATTTCTTGCTATGCTTAGAATCTAAAAATCCTATTTATTATATACTTTGTATTTTCTAGTTATGTCAAGGCGGATCAGTGACCGATTTGGTGCATGGATTGAAAATTCAAACAAAACAATTAACTGAAGATCAAATTGCTTACATTTTACATGAAACTTTGCAGGTAATTTTTGTGTTTGCTCAATTAATAAACTATTTAATTAACACCTGTTTGTAAATGTTATGGATTTGGAGAAAAAAAATTTAAGATTAAATTGTTGGTCCCTTAGAATTAGTTATATGCAAAGCAATTATCAACTGGTACAATACATTCCCATTGAATTAATAAATAACCCTTTTTACTGGACCACTTAAATGTTCTTTTCAAAATCCTAATTAATAGTTTTTACTGTATATGTATAACTTTATAGTTTTAATTTTATTTAATTTTTAATTTTTATTAGGCACTAGCATTTTTACATCGAAATCACTGTATGCATCGCGATGTAAAAGGACATAATATATTGTTAACCGAAGATGGACAAGTGAAATTAGTAGATTTTGGAGTTTCTTCTCATTTAGGAGCTACAATGGGTCGGCGTGATACATCTGTTGGAACACCTTACTGGATGGCTCCAGAGGTGAGACATTTCTAAAATAATAGTTGTTAATTATGGTTTAATATCCTAAATTTTATATTAATATACAAATGCAAGACTGTACAATTTTCCTTGTTTAAAATTGACACAATTACATTAATTCGTCTACAACATGGTATTAAGTTATCTTGAAATAACTAAGAGACTTTTACTAGATGTTAATTTTCTGAATAGTGTATTGATTTCTTTTAATGATTTTGAGTTATCACAGAAGTTTGGTTTCTAAACTGTTAAACAAAATTTACTTGAAACTGTTTGTGAAATTTGATGGAATAGTATTTAAAATTACATAGACCCCTACTAAGTTTGTTTACACAAATAATACTTTACAATGGTACCCATATTTATTACCATGTTATATAATGATTTTTGGGATTTAAACATATTGTAAACAATTGATGGTGAACAGCTAGTAAACGTTATTATAGCATTCAAAACCCACCAATTAGTTACACGCATAATAACATTCCCTGTTTATCAGGGAATGATAAACCATCAATCTATACATTTATTGGTGTAATTAATTTTTAAAATAATAATGTTGATGGAAATAATATTTTACATTGTGGAAAATATTCTCAAATAAAAGAATATCTCTCAAATTTGTATATATTGTAATTGGTTAAAGGTTATAATTTTTTTTTTCGAATGTTAATGTGTATTTGTTAGAATATGCATTGGCTACTTATTATTTATAAATAACATAATAATATTGAATTTTCAGAAAATAAATTTTGAACAGTCATTAATAATAGCTCAAAACACAGAATTTAATTTCTTGTACAAGTGAAAATTGAATAAGTTATTTAATTTAATTTACCTGCAACTAACTATCATGTATAATATAATATAAGTTGAGATGTACACCTCTTAAGTATTATACATGATAAAAGTTAATTCATTATTTTGGTTCTCTTACATGGAGTACAAAACTATACTGGAGTAGTGTTTATAGGTTTTACAGATTCACAATCTAAGTCTTGAATATTTGAGAAAAACGAGAATCTTTTTTACATGAATACATAAATATTTACAAAATCTGAAAATGCTTATATTTTGTTATAGCACTTTATTAATTTCTAAGGATTTTCATGTTTATAAAATAACTTACTATTATGAGACTTTTAATCATACAATTTATATTCCAACTAATTTTATATTTTAACTGCAGCTTAACTAAGTATAGAATGACAGAATACATATTTCAAATAGGTATATATTTCAAATTGAAAAGCTGTTCAACTCGAGTAACTTCTTTATTATAATTTCACCATAATGTTGTTTTTAAATATAAGTGTAGGTTTATTTTTATTTATATTTGCCAAAACAAACCTAAGTAAAAATTATGATAAAAAAAAATATATATATATACATATATATCGTCATCGCTTTATATTATGTTGCCTACAAGTTATATTTCAGGGGTTTTATTTTTTAACTCGCCGTTTTATATTATTAGATAGGTAGTAAACAATTTACTATAACAAATTTATTCGATTCGTTTTTGTAAATTGTAGTTTTTCATTAAATTCAATTTTATGTATTTATTATGTTTACTAGACAGTATCTCTATACAAATTTAAAAAGCCTTTATTGTTGAGATACCTTATCTTCAAAGTTTTAAGGAATGTTTGAATTATTTCTAGGTTTTTAAAAGTTTTCCGTGTTTTTGCATGTTATCGAACAACTTTCAAGTACCTATATCTTTTATGTTCAATTTTTTTTTGCCAATCCAAAAACTTAATGAATTTTTTTGAGAATTTGTATGATAAAAAAATTTTAAATTTTATATCATCTTAAAACATATTGCATCATTTCTTAAAAACTTAAACAGACTAACTACTTTCTGTGGATCCTCCTGAGTTCTAACTACGAGTTATCAGTATTGTATATTCTTACTTTGAATTTGAAATCAATATAATAAAATTAATACGTTAACTGCCACGTAGTTTTTGAATGCATTACTCTGTGTAATGTGATGTGTATCTCTGTGTACAAAATCCTGAGACGGTATTGTTGATTTTAAGTAGGAATATGAATCTTGTGTCCTCCAAGACTATTTCTATATTTTTAGCGACCATGCTTATACAAATTAATAAAACTTTAAAAAGACTTTTGTAAAAAACACACGTATACCTTCAAACCGTGTACACCACCACGAACACTACGTAATAATACACAGAATAAAAAACACACTAAATATCTACATTTACGTGTACAAAGGAGCATTGCAAATAATATGAAATAAATGGATAAGGTACCAATAGTAAGTACTGGGAATTTATATTATTAGTCTAAACATATAGTTGGATAATATTATATTCGTAATAACAGATTATGAATAATTCTGAGCCTGGTCTAGAAGGCCACATGTACATTATTTTGACACGTTCGAAATTTTGAATTTTCTGTACAAGGTTGTTTTTTAAAAATACTATAAAAAATTAAGAAAAAGAAAAAATTATTATTGCACATTTTTTTTTTATATTTTAGCAAATATACATCAAAATACCTATTTATGAACGGACATTTTACCGTGTACAATAAAATGCACACATAACAGTCAACGTGTTAATAACTGGATACATTTTAATGAATCCCTTACATATCTAATTTAAATCCGAATTACCTATTTCGTATTATCGCTTTGAAATACTTTCAGTATCCAATCAATAATCTGTAGATGTCTAATATACAACAGAAACCAACCTAAGGGTGGAGTTTGACTTTCTGAACATCTTTTCCCGGAAATGGAAATTTCTTTCAATGACCATTGAAAAAATGTAGGCGTTGTTTATTTGGGCATCGTCTATTTTCGTCAGAAAAAGGTAATCGTTTTGCGTACAAATCATTTTCGCCAAAATAAAAAAGGTACTATTTTCCGATTGCCCCTTTGTGTCAAATTTACCTGGATATATTACACTATTACACGAGTTTTTTTATTTTACTAATTTATAAAAAAATTTATGTTATTTTTAGATTTGGTGGGTAGCGAGGGTTTTATTGGTTTTACTAAGATTTGTGTTTGTTTTTCTGCATGCAAACAACATTTCAAAGAGAAATCTTACTCCAATGTATAAAGTATAGTATCTTTTCTGAAAGGAAATATTGTCTAGTTAGTGTATTGAAGAGGTCATTTTTTGATGTTCCAATGGGTTTTCGAAATAATTGGGAAAAATCCAATAATAAAATGTAGGTAAAAGGCAAATATTTACAGCGCGCCTCGGCGATACCAGTTTTATTGTTTTTAATATGTATAACTTATGTTTTCTACCAGAAATTTTGAACCAATTTAAAATTACAAGAAATCAATTGTGTTCCTTTTAATATATAGCGACTGATAGAGGAAGTCGGTTTTTGTTATCTAAAATAGTTTTCATAATAATGGAGAAACCAAAAAGGACGAAAAATACGATTTTTTTTTTTCAAATTTCTGGCACAACGATTTTATTGTTTTAAATTTGTACTGCCTTATATTTTCGCTCCAATAGAACAACGACAAGAGACCTTTTTTGTTGTATTTTTAATTTTGTTCATGAGTAAGTAATTTTTTTTTTTTAATTTTCCTGGTAGTCTTCGTAAAAATTGCGATAAACCGGAAAATTACGAAAAATAAAATCTGATAAATTTACGGTGCTGCCATTAATTTGTATTAAAGTTTTATGGCTTATGTTTTCTACAAAAAATATTGCTCCAATAGAAAAACATCAAGAGATTTTTTTTGTTGAATTTAATCTACTTGGTGACTAAGGACCAAATTTATAAAAAACAAAAAACATACAATTTTCATGTTATCTGGGTACCTCAGGGAGGTTATTTTTTTATTTTCAAAGCAGTTTTCATAATAATTGGGAAAAACTAGAAAATATACATGCATGTATAAAAGGAGCTTTGCTCCGAATCGTTTTGCATTAACAGTGGTTTATCATGCATACAGATATATATTAAATTCCCTTCTATAATCTCCCGTAAATCTCCCAAATTCTTCCGTATTATTAGATACTTTAAAATCGAAACTTATAAGCATTTTTTTATATTTTGACAATTTCGAATTTAAAAGACGTTTTAGACTATGTTTTGAGAGTTCTTAAGACAAATCCGGGTACTACATACAAATATGATAAACGGTAGCGATTGCCCTGCAGAAAATCTACACGAGTTTTCGTTGTATACGGACGCTTGTGAGCACGCGAACACTCAATTATAATAATAATAATTTATTACTATCGTTATTTTTAAACGCTTCATACGTTAAATAATAATAATAATACGGAACGAAACGCGTCTAAAGGCTAGTGGTGGTATAATTATTTACAAGTGTTTTGGAAGAATTCATAATGATATTAAATTTACACGTATATATTATGTACGGTTTTTTTTTTTTGCTCTACTAACAGTAGGTGTACGCGTGATGTTTTATTGCGTTCGCGCACGATTATTATTGTTTTGTTGTTATTATTGTTCGTGTTATCACATACATAAACTATATAATAATATGATATTTTATCGTACGTAAACAATATATAATACTAGTGATAATAATAGTACTGTGACGATAACGTGGAAGGAAGTTGGCCTGCCCGCTGCGGCGGCGGCAGTAAATCGCGAATACAAAAAGACGGCCGCGGTTATAAGGTAGCGAACGGAAGTGACAGGCGGCGGCGGTGTCGTGTTTTGCGATCGCAAACAGGTCACAGTCGTAAAAATCGAGCAAGTACCTCGTCTGTCTATCGCCGCGATTCGCGGGGCGGGGGAGGATGAGGAGAGGAAATTAAAAAATATGTTCATGTATTATTTATTTATTATTGTACTGCAGTAGGTACGTATATAGAAACGACATCGCCGGGGGAAAGAAAACCATCTCGCGTCGACATTGTACGGCAGCGGCGGGGCATTCCGTTTTGCCGAGAAATCGGTACGGTCTCTGTCGGGGGAGGAGTACCGGTTTTCCGCAGCCGTTCCGATTCTTCCGGTCGCTTATTCCTTGCTCCGACCGCCGTATAATAATAATCATAACATAACGACGCTGTATCATTATCGTCACGTGTGTTGTTTTTTTTTTTTTTCTAAATTTTTTCGTATTATCGCACCGTCGTCCGTCGCGTCTGGTTGTCGGTTCTTCTTATAATATTACCCGTAGTGTTTTTTCACGCGCTATATGATATAACCAACGTGATTCTACTACGCGTTGTTTACATTTTGTCCGTTATTCGTTTCGACTATTTTTCGGTCCCGACTTAATAATTGCGCGCAAGCCTTTTCGCGTATGTCCGAGAGGTTATTATAATACTCCTGCAGTGGATTATCATAATCGTATAAAACTACGATGCCCCGCCGTCCGTCTGCGGTTTCGAGATAAACCGAACGTTTTTCACGGTTTACTTATATCATCGTGCACCCGCCGGGAATTGGCTCCCAATTACAGGTAATCGATATTTTACCGTCCAAACATACACCTTTGTATTGGCTCCCTGTGTCTTTTTTTTTTATAAATATTTTGGCTATCAAAATGTTGTATTAATTATTTATAAGTTTAGTATGGAAATGGCGTTCCACTGTATACGTGTTCATTGTATATGTACGTTTTTACATACAAATTCTCTTGCTGTGATTGATTGGTATCAATGGTAAGCTTTTGACGTACCAAAGTGTTCACACGTTCTTGCTACACCTACACCTTACCGTGTTGTTTGATATAGTTTTACAATTTTGTGTACATTTATCCAAAATCGGGAACCTATTGAATCGCCCATACCCGTTATAGATTCTGAACTGATTGACGAATTTGCGTTGTTTTTTTTTATCTAATTACTTTTTTGGTTAGTAAACAGCCCTCCGACACTACTTTCCAATCGTACTTAAAAGTTTCCGCGTTCTACAGTATTTAATTCGAATCATTTCCCTTTAGATTTTTCCGACCGTTTATTCTAAAACGTGCCCTACCCACGACTTTAACATTTTAATTTTATATAGGAGATCTTTTTTTATTATTTTATGAAATATTAACAAATTATTATGTCTCGACAATTTAGTTTATAAAACCCACATATCTTTAAATTTTCATACCAGCTTGAAGAACAAGATAGACTGATTAATTGTTTGACTAATACTTCAAATACTTAATTCTACTTAATACCAGAGACTTCAAACTGACCGGTGGAAGATAGGAATTAGATCGGAATAAGAACACAATGGGGGACCTGACAGATAAATATTATGTATGTCGAGCTAGCCAATACATCGGCGCGCTCATTTCCCGAAATACCAAGATATCCCTGAACCCATAGGAAGGAAACGAAAATGGTGCTAGCTTTGAGCGAAAAAAAAAATTGCGCAGATTTTTAAAATGGTTGGTGTTACAATGTGAATTATAACCATTACCAGATAGTGCTAAAAGGCAAGCTTGAGAGTCGGACATTATTAGACAATTTCCAGGAAGAAGAGACTAAATCTAGATAAGAACTTTTAATATGGCATAATTTTTAGCTTTAAAATAGTGGGAAACCTTATGGTTAATTCATTTTTTTTTACAGAAGTATTCCATTCGTTGTTGCACACAGGAAAAAATTACTTTAATTAGTTGTATTTAAACCCATTAAGCAAGCTAATGATTTAACGTTGCATTCGGTATATTAAAGCTTAGAGTTAAATTAACCAATATCCTGTACCTTCCCATCATTTAACATTCTCATTTATACAAAAGTGACTTACCTATAATGCAACGTATGTCCCGTGTTATTTTTATTGTCTGAACGTTTGCTGGTCAAAATCATAATCTTGTAGTTAGATATCACAGACTTGATTCTAACCTAATACTTTTTCCTCCTGTTATCATTTCAGCGAATCCGCAGAAATATTATTATTATAAGAATTTAATATTCGATAATTATTACTCTCGGAGACATTAAAAACCTATATTTATGTATTATAGATGCATTATCATATAAGGTAGATTGAATATACTTACAAATATATTTTATTGTTTATGTTAGCTAAAGAGCGTGAACTGTTTTTCTTCTAAAAACCATGCTTTACATTATAAACTGTCGATTTTCACAATTTGTTTATGATTTTAGTTTACGTAATGAAATGAATCCAGTAGGAAATTAAAAAATATTATCGTGAGATATGAGTTTTTCCGGTAAAACGTGTTTTGTGTATTAAAAAAAAAAAAAACAGATTGTGCGAAGGTCGCTTTTATATAAATACTGAAAAAATCTGATTGAACTATTTATTAAAACAGTAAATACTTGGTAATTGTAAATGTTTTCATTTCGTTATTTGTATAATTTGTAAAAAAAAAATCACGAGCAAAGCCCTTATAAGTATAAAGACTCTTTTAAATATTTTAGTATAACTTAAACAAATAACTATCAGATGACCTTATTACAGTAATTAGAGCGAGGTATTTTTGTTTAGAAAACTTTAAACGTTCGCATTTAAATTTCAGTCGAAATACGTTTAAATTAAAAGAAATCGGTTTATATTATAATTTAAAAACATAGACAATTAAACGCGTAATATTAGCCATCCGTGTTGTATGAGCAATATAATTGCAGTTTTATTATGACAATTTAATTTGCACGCAATTTAAAGGTACAGGCCGAATGAACACGTCCGACTCCTGACAATTTATGTGCCGGCAATTGTTCACTGTTCGTCACGCAAAGTCATTGTTTATGCTGTAGTTTGTATCATAATATTCAATATATTTTATGGTTTATAAACGAAAAATAATGCCTATCATATATTATAATTAAAAAACAAAAAAAAAATCTAATACTATCCTATTTTAATATGTATTTTACGATTGGTTGTAGTAAATTGTCGACTCTATGCATTGTATTAATCCTTTACTGTAAATGTGTGCTATTGTTCCATAGAAAAACACTTCATTTGATATGGACAGTAAACACATTTGATAAGTCTGGAAATTCATTATTTTAGTATAGAAATATTCGAACGAGTTTTGAAAACTAATTGTATTTGCTCACATCTCTGTTTTGAATTTTTGCTTTCGAATACAATGATTAATTTTTTTTTTATTGAGTATAATACAAATAATAAACAAGACTATTATAATATTATAATTTTAACTCCCTTTTAGCTTTTGGCTCGTCTATAAAACGAGTGCGATGTATGTTTGATTTTTATTACTTTAACAACCTCGTTATGATAATGTATACCTAATCTTAGGCTTAAATGAATATTTATCAAAAGTGATCTATATATTATAATTTAATGTTATTATAAAAATATGCCTGTATATTAAGAATATCATTATCTTAAAGATGTAAAATAAAAAAGTTGGATTATTTTGATTGAACGCTCCCTCCCCTTCCCCCCATCCCCTATTTGATTTGTAATTTTAAAGAAATTTGGTGGTAATATCTTAATCACGTGCCGCAAAGGGGTTGAACACTTAGTTTGGCCATTTTTCGAATTTATTTTTTAAAAAATGTAGCATTTATATAAAAATATACCTTAAATATTTACAATTATTTATAAAAATGTTTTGAAAAAGTTTCTCATCTCATAAATTTATAATTTTCTGAAAAAATAAATAAAATATGGTAGTTAAGTGTTTATAAATTTAATATTATGTTATATAATTAAGGTCTGTTACAGTTTTTGAACAATTTATATAGATTTATATTCGTAAATTCTTTTATTATTTATTTTTATTAATATAATCATTGAAACTTCGTTTTAGTTTAAAATTACTATTGTCGTATAGGCATCATACTGCATTTTTTTTAGAAACTAATTTTCATTTCCAATTTTTAATCTTAAATTACGATATATTTAATTTCTCTAACTAATAATAAACTAATAAACACATATAAATTTCTACACTTTACAGCACGCGTATAAAACGATTAAAACAATTTTTTTTTTATTAAGGGGTCTCAAGAACCACTAATGGGTGGCTGCTTAATTCAAAACTTTCATGTCTTTTAATTACTAGTTTAATATAAACTTATTGTACAAAACTGTATAGATTGTTTATGCCAATAAAAAAAAACCGTTTTTAAACGGTGCCCATATAAAATTGTATAAAACTTATTACGTTTTTGCAAATAATATTATAGTTATAGTGATTTGTTGTCTTATAATATGTATAGTTTAGTTTTATAATTATTTATAGTATAGTATTTATAAATACTTTACTTACTCTAAAATCGTTCTTATAAATACGGTGGTATGTTACAAATTTTATCAGAGGGCAAAGACTGTAATGGTTGGTACGTATAATGTGCGTGGGGTAAAAAGAAAATTGGAATCTAAGCAGCAGCTAAACAGAATGACTATTAAAAGGCCAAGGACAAGACCCAGAAAGCGTTAGCTGGACGGAATTATAGAAGACGCGAAAAAAATGAAAAATATCGATTAGGAAAAATGTATATTAAAGGAGGAATGAAGTTGTGTTGACAGAAATTGCTTTTGAAATGATGTTGGGTTAATGGAGAAAAAGATGACACTTATAGCATTTGTACTTTAAATTTACAACGAAATACTAAAATAATCGACCACTTATAATTACGGTGATTTTAAGATATAAATAAAAAAATAAAAAATAAATATTAAAAACGGTGAACTGTGTATAATAATAAATGTAATAAGTAATCATAAAACGTCAAGTAGGTATTATATGTTTTATCATTACTTACGTATGTTCATCAAATTCCAATGGTTTAATTTTATTATTATAATTTTTTTTTGTTCAAAAAAGTATGCATAATTAATAATTATACATTATTATTCGTACGATTTGTGTACAATTTCTTTTAATATAAACATAAATAATTGGATTTTTTAGGCTTAATTTAAATTGTTTACATTGTCTATCTAAACCTAAACCTAAACAAACACATACACTTATATAATAATCAAAAATGTAGTAAATAGTTATAATGCATCTAAATATTTGAGTTGATTATTAAAAATTAAACAGAAATGAATAAATATTATACAATTATAAAAATATTAATGCGAAACGACGAATGGGTATGTATGGTATGGATATAATATAATATTAGTGATTGTATTATGACCGGTTTGGGCAAAAAGGCTACAATCAGAAATTAATATTATGTATAGGTATATATGACTATTACATATTTAATTTCAATATTAAACATTACCAATTATGATTAACTTTTCGTGATCGGCTGTGAGTATCTATAATTTATTGTTATGTAGTGTTATGTGATGTTAAACATCAAAATAATTGTAGGTATATGTTTTATTACTTGGTTTAAACTACTAGTGCCGTGCAGAAGTTTGATCAATTCAAATTAGAAAAAAAAAACATTCGTTTAATCATCCGCGTTAAAAAAATTCCTTCCGTAATTGGGATATTAACCTCAATTATGATTCAATCTAGCATTCTGGATAAATCAGAAGGAGAAACATAGTAAAATGTATGACAATTACCGGATAATAGTTTTAATGAGAACTGAACGTACACGATTTAGAATTTTAGATGGTCTGTTTAATAGAAATAATCAGGGCTCGGATTTTATAGCATTTGCTAATTATTATAGGATACAGATAAAAATAGCAGAGTGAGCTTTACATTTTGTTTTATGCGCTATGGACTCCAAATATGAAATTTATTTTGCTATTTTTTTATATATATATATTTGAAGCATTTTAGATTTTTAGTTCTATTTTTAAAAATGTTGTGCTAACTTTTGTTAATATATAATACATATATAATGATTTATTTTGTATTTTTCAATAAATAATAGAAAAAATCTTTCATTTATGTGAATTTTTAAGAAAAATACCTACATTTTCATTTCATATTATAATTTATTTTTAAGTAGTCCTGCATATTAACTAATCGAACAGTTTATATTTACGACTTTTTTCGGTTCTAGTTATATATTTAAAAAAAAAAAAAATACATTTTCTTTTTAGTTATTTTTCATGTTTTTATGGCATACTTTAGCTTATTAGAAAATTTTTAGGACATTTATAGCGTTTATTTTAAGATTTGTTAGGTCATATTAAAGCCCATATTTCAGTTATTCTCAGTGTTATAAAATCCGAGCCCTGGTCATAATATTTTATTATGTGGAACGACCTCCGCGACTTTGGCAGTCATTTTTAAATACATTTAATTATGTAATAGTCGACAACATCAATATCCGGATTATACATGGTTTTTTACAATTTGATCAATCCGGATCAGCATTTCGGTGTTTGGTTTGATCCGGATTATGTGCTCGGCACTATAGATTTAATTATTTAAATTATTTAAATCGTGCATAATATTATAATATACATGACCATTAGCTAGTTACATTTTTTTTCTGTACAGATCAAGTAAATTTTAATACATTTTAACGCCTAATTATTTATTAGGTTATCGTGGTGCAGAATAATAAATATCCGTGCAGTAGTAACGGGTCATTTAATTTTACAGTAGATATATTTATAAAAAAAATTCACCAGGAAATATTAATCTAGCATTATAAAACTTTCCTATTCACGCGATTACCGTGTTCGAATCCAGAACTAAATTAATAAATACACGATTTGATATATTTTATAAAATTATGATAATATTATGTACTAATCAAAATGCATAATATTTTGTAATTGCAGTTAGCTGACCTATATTTTATAATATGAACTTATTGCTATTTAACTATATATTACAAATAATAATATACAGTTGTAATTTACTCCGTTCTGGATACCGAGGTAAAAAAATGGGTAAGTCTAATGAGAAGTATTTTTAATATAAATGAGTTAAAATGTACCAAAGTGTAACGTGTAATGAATAATATTATTTTACAGTTTTCATATCATTAAGTTTTAATGATCTTTATGTCTTTATAGGCACGTAATATAATCCAAATTCTAATATACTCAGTATATAGAAGTATTATTTATGATTTATACTCGAAAAGTACAATTTTTTTTTTATGTTTGTTTTTTATTCGTATACATTATACGAAAATATTTTTTACTCAACATAGGTATTCTTTAACTCGGATAACTTATTCCAATAATAGTGATGGTAACTTCCGAATAGTTTGTATTACCGACGATCGAATATTTCGAAAAAGAATTAGAGTATAGATTTTTTCATTACTGTATACAAACTATTCAAATATTTTCCTCGTATAATTAAAATATGTTTATTTAAGATGCAAATTAAATTAAGATAGTTGGTAATATAAACTAAACCAATTTTATTTTTACAAATATTCTAATATACTTTTGAATATTTTTTTTTTTGTAACCGAATAGAAACTATTCGTTTTATACAAATTATCAAATACTTACTCTGTTCGAATAGTCCGAACTCGATCAATTATAAAATAGTTCGACAGTAACTATTCAGATGTGCCCGTCATTACAATGGTTAAGAATCATTAAGGATAAGACAACGTTCATACATTTATTTCCTAAATCCGCTAATTTCCCGTTTTCCCACAATCGCAATATTTAATATCTACTGCATTTTAAACATGGTTATTTATTTATGCAATAAGTAACTGATTTGTAGTTTAGATACTTGTGAACTCATACGCTTTGAAATTACTCATTTCAATTCGTATTTGCCGGTAATAGTGAGATAATATTATGATGAAAATTCGGTATGCGACATTTCTATTTGTTAATTAATATAAATAATCAACGCGATTCCTCTTTCGAATACCAGCTTTTCTTATTGCAAATTAATTACAAATCGGATATTGGAATATTTTCTCCGTGTAGAAGTAATTAGGTACGTATACGAATAGAAATCGTTCGCGTATATTTTACCGCGGTAATTTCAATACAATGATAGTAATTATAAATAATTAATTTGAAGAAAAAAAAAGATTTAATGTTTTAAAATATTTTATTGGGCTGCGGCGGTATGCCACACTTTTATTTAAAACTCGAATTATTCCCAGTGAAAAACGAAAATTATGAATATATTAAGTATGTATTATTAATGTATAATATAATTTGGTTTATCTAAGTGTATATCTGCAGTTATCATTATCGTTGGTCGACGTGCGTACAGCGGTTATTTAAATGTATTGTTATTACCATTATTACCGATTTCCTCTCGCGCGAACTACTACGCGTGTTTCCGAAAATATGTCGAATTTATACCTACTTACCCACCTATATAATAATATCATAAAATGTTAAAGTGAAGTAGCTGGTATATATAATCATAATATTATTATAACGATTATCTCGCCTTTGTGTGTGTATGTATGTAGGCAAACGAACAATAACCAATTCTAAGGGAAAAAAAAAACTATAATTTTCTAGTCGATATAGCGAGTTCTCGTTAAAAAGAGAACAATAAATATATATATTATATATATATATATAAGTTTGATGTGTGACAAATTTGATTGACGAAAAATATTCAAAGAAATATAGATTCACCGGCAGTAAGCAATGTTTAAGAGAAAACAAAAACATATTTTTGTGTCCTTATTCGGTGTACCTATATAATACGAAAATGTTTTTTTTATACAATATATTATTATACTTATATATACATATATATATACATATATATATATATACCTCTTAGATTAATATGTTTCTGACACAACACAGTAATATACCTAAATTATTTTTTATACATATATATATACATATATATATATATACCTCTTAGATTTTTATGTTTCTGACGTATCACAGTGATACAACACATTAATATACTTATATATACATATATATATACATATATATATATATACCTCTTAGATTTTTATGTTTCTGACGTATCACAGTGATATAGCTCATTTATTTTTTTTTTTTTTTTGAAAAAGTTTTCTCTGTATTATATTTATATATATTTTTTTTTTTTTCAAAAATGCTCGGTATGTTTCATACTGCCACAGTTGAATAAAATTCGAGTGACGTCAGTTTAACAATGTATGTTTTTATGACGATATATTTCTAATAAAATTATCGACGTATATATTTACGTCTTCGCGAATTGCGAACGGCAATTTCTCGAAATTTTTATGAAAACGGAGAAAGTCGAATATCGTATATATATTTCTTGACTCTTTGAAAATTCTTTTACGGGAACTTTTTTTTTTCACAGCGGGGTTAAAATATGTAATTGACTACGATATTATAATAATAATAATATCCCCGTCTAGTTATAAATTTCTCGTGGATTTAGCGTATTTTTTTAAGTATACCGTTCAACTGTTGTAAACTTACAATTTAAAAATATGAGTACACGGAATGCCAATGAAAATTGACGTTCTCGCAAAAACTAACTGAAAAAAAACCTGATTCTCGAGTGTAGCACCTTTTCTAAGAGGAAATTTTATTTGGGTGGTACTTAAAGTGCCATTTTTTTTCGTTTTAATAAGGAATAATCAAAAGAAACAAAAAAAACTAAACAATTTACTGTGTCACGATTCTTTCATTTTAACTTTTTATGACGACTAGTTTTTTACGTCATTTTTATTTGTAAAAAGAATTATTAGACCAAAAAAAAAAAAAAAAATGCTTACGAATTTAGTGCAATGGAGAATATTTTAATCAACGAAATGAACTAGTATTTTCCACCGTATAACTACAACAGACTGTCAATTAATGTATATATCGTAGGTCATATGGTAAATTAGTCTTTTTTGCGAAAAGGTCTTTGCAATGGGTCGTTTGCAAACGACTTATTATTTTCCCAAACGGCCTACTGTTTTTCAGGCTTATTGCATATAGACTAACAGCAGTTAGGCCTTTAAGAACTACAGTAATTATAATATAGTAGTAACTATTTTACTTATTTTATTTTAAGGGTAATTTATTACTTATAGAAAAAAAAAGATTAATAGAATTATTATTACATGTAAACTTTATACTGAATAATCTGAATAAGTATGGTACTTATTATATAGTATTATAATTATTTTTTAAGCCATACCAATAGCGAGTATCAGTGAAGTTCAGATTATTTTAAAGTTTTTGACTATTGTATTACTTGTTACTATTGTACTGCTAGTTTTTTTTTACAAAAAAGAAAATGTGTAAAATATTTACTTATTGTTATATGTGGTTATTTCGTGTTACATATTTTTTGTCTACAATTTTTCCAATTATATTTTGAGTGTCTAAATGGTCCACCATCTACTTTTGAAATATTGACTAAAACATAACTTCCAACTTATAAACTGTATCAATGGTGTATTTATAAACTCATCAATCGTATACATTTTAAATTCTAGGCATTTACCTACATTAGTTCATTACAACTGGCTATTTTAAAGATTTAGATACAGAATGACAGCATAATATGATAAGATTCCTGATGGAATCTACGAGGTCATGATTAATCAGTAGATTAGCTGATATCTTTTCACTGTACACATTTTTGTCGGCATAGTGTACATATTAGACGTTAGTACACCTCTGCGTTATCATTAAAACGGTTGAATTTGTTTGTTTTTCGTTATCAAACATTTTTTTGCAAAACAAATAGATGTGGTTGACAGTTTACATGTTACATGTAAACTCTATTGATCTTTTTTTCGTAAAAGTAATAAATTACCCTTAAAATAAAATACGTAAAATAGTTATTACTATATTATAATTATTGTAGTTTTTAAAAGGCCTAACTGCTGTTAGTCTATGTGCGATAAGTCTAAAAAACAGTAGCCCGTTTGAAAAAATAATAAGTAGTTCGCAAACGTGCTACCCCATTGCAAAGAGCCTAGCTTTTTCGCAAAAAGACTAATTTTCCACATGGCCTACGACACATATATAAATACTGTACTGTTAACGACAGCGTGCGTGTCGCGTATTTGCTTAAAAATTATTATTATTCGTCTGCTCATCACGTGCGTTATAATCTTACAATAGCCGAACGTCGTCGGTTATAGGGTTTCTATTACCGACTCGAAACGGACGGTTACAAAATTCGCTAAACCGTTTGCTACATAAAGAAAGAGTGAACCGCGTTACAGTGGTAACCGAATCGCAAAAACGTTATAACTTATAAGCAAACAACAGTCAACCCACGATTATAAGCCGAAACTGATAGCGCGTAGGTACGTGTTGTGATACCGTTATATAGTGTAGTCTTTCGCGCTGTGTATGTTATTTTTAATTAATATTTTACCGTTCGAATTTTTAATAATTCCAACATTTTTAATTGCGAATATTATTGTTATAAATAGCCGCGGAACCGGTCCGTCCGAGCCGAATCCCGTACGTCTACATATTATTATTATTACAACATATCACCTCCGCGTATTATACGTTAATTAAGTGCGGGCGAATCTCGTTGGAAAAATTAAAACAAACAAAAAAAACCAAACTGATTAGACGCCGTGAACGGCGGCATCCGCGCCGTTCCTCTAATAATTGACTTTGTTCGGTCGACTTGCGAACGAGTTCGCGGGAAAGGTATAGGCGGGTATTATGATCGTATTGTTATTATCGTTGTATACCTACGCGGCAACAACCACTCAGCAGTCATCGGGTCTGCGCGTTTCGTTTTCCATTCCATTCGGTAACGACCGCGCGACCACGTTTGTCGGCGTGCCTGTTTTCGCCGCGACCGAACCGCTCGCTCGTGTTTCTCGCGCACAGACGGGTACCTCCTATATATATATACACACGCAATAACATAAATTTAAACTGCGCGTTCGGATATCTCTTCGTGTTCCTCTGAATATATTTTGGTTTTTTTTTTTCATCTATTTTATTTTATATTCGTGCGGTGGTTTTTTTTTTTTTTTTTTTTTTGGAATTCGGTAATTCGTGTACGTAGACTACGCGGGTCGTTTTCTGCAGTCGCGTGATGCACCGCGACGCATGACTCGTAAAGAATCGGACAGACACACGTGTAAATCGATATTTCGGTAAGTTAAAGATTTGCGATCGTTATTAAAATTATGAACGGAACGGGAATGTATAATATATGTTATTGGTTTTTCTGTTTTTTTTTTTTTTTTTCAAAAACCCGCGGTGCCTGTCAGAGCCGTAGCAAGCTGTTCTGACGCCCGAGGCAAATTTGAATTTATGCATCCGGCGCACTCCCCCTCCCCAAAAAAAACTGTTTTAAAAACTATTATTTATCGAATTTTCAGATAAGTGTGTATATATTTATTTTAAGATTTATTTTGCAGACACTGAATAAAAAAAAAAAATTAATTAATATTGTATTAAACGAAAGAGGATTATGAAAATATTTGATAGCCTTTCATGGCCCATATAGTGGATCTCAAATAATTCTTTATGAGTTTGAGTTCGCTAAAGCTACACTTGGGAAAAAAAAAACTACTAAAAATCCCGAATATTCTTTTTGGACAAACTACTTAGAAGTCTTAATAGTTTACTACTAAAAAAAATGTCAGTAGTTTACTACTAGAAAATTGATAGTAGTAAACTAATAGAAAATATATTATAGTGTGTTACTAGAAATATTATTATTATTTATTAATTATAATTAGAATAAGACTATATATATATATATAATAAGAGAGATTATATATGAAAAATACGATATCTATGTTTGAATATTTAGTTTAAAAAAAATTGTCAAGATTTAATGCTGGTGCCAAAGTCGCCTCACCCTTGTTACGGCTCTGGTGTCGATTAGGTGTTTTGATCACGAGAAGCGAATTTCATCCGGTTGGTACTTTACTCTGAAACATTTATATCTGCTGGCTTCCCAGCAGTTTTCTTGACAGAAAGAAAAGACCTTATACTGCTGATGTGTGTGCCACTATTGTAGGTAAAACGTTGTAAAGCTAGGATACATATAGGGATATTTGATTTATACCAATGATAAATCATTACGGACGAAATACGATTCTAAGTGAAATTCGATTATACATGCTTTAAAATGTGGATTTTGGATGTTGGATTTTTACAATTTTCACAAATGTAAATTTCGAATATCTATAAATAGTTCAAAAATAATCATAATGACAATCATTTACAATGTAAAAAAAAGGATTAATACTCAGAAGTATTCTGTGAAAATTGCACGGTTCAACGATTACTTTTAACCGAATTGTAATAAAATGAATACATCGTTATTGTTGGAAATTTTCCCGGTTCCCTAGGATTTTCCTTCGGGTTTTCCTAATTATTGAGAAGACAACGTGAAATATAAAATGTACCTATACTAGATACAATTTCCTTTTAGTTCAAGTGCTCTCACTTGAATTTTGGATCAATATCACTGGTATAGAAAAGTTGTTTAAAGGTAGAGAAAAAAAATCATAAAGGTAGTAAAATCGATGCATTACTCCCTGCGCTCAGAATCTAAAAGAAAAACTTACAAAAAATGTTGCATGTACTATAGGCGGATCGATCGTGATGGAAGTCCAAAATCATCTCAAAGCCAGATTATTCAATATCTTGATGAGAACACACGCTTGAATATTTAGATTTTTTTAAATTGATTTCTGGGTTATTTCTGAAAAAACCTACTATAGAATTCAATTTATCAAACCGTGTTCCACTCAGAATTGTTTTTTTTTCGCTGTCGTTGCGTTTTGTACAATATATAGACTGTTTATAATATTATATATATATGCAATATTATAGAAACTAAATTTGGTAATTAAAACCTTAACAAAACCAAACTTTCCCGGTTATACAACAGAAGCCTACCCGTTATTAAAAGTAAATCCCGTCCGGTTTTGGGTTTCTAAACATACGTTTAGACAGCTTATATTCCGTCCGCCCGTAGCTACCTGCAGAATCCATAGTTACGGTTGTTGATTTGGTTGCCATTTGACAATGAGATGTATTAACATTGCTATTTTATTTAAACGTACTTAATTGTGTACGGAACTATGTATTCATATATAATTTGTTGTTTAAAATATGTTTAGAAACCCGGGTAAAATTAGCTCGCTCGTAGTGTGTTTTCCTAACTTGTTTCAAAAAAAAAAAAAACCTCCGATTTCTACCGTACTATTTTTACTGACCCGAGCCTTATTATTATATATAAATTATTTATAATATATTGAGAGTTTTTGTCGGTGAAATATGAATCGTGTGTTATTATTATACGTGCAGCGTTCGCGTGTGGTCGTACATTTCTTGCCGGTGATAAGTCGCCGCCGTATCACATAACTAATTCGGTTCTATATCGCCGCCGGCAATGGCGGCCAAAATATTGCGTACCTTTTCTCCCGTCCGCCAAACGTGTACCGAGCAGTTACTCCCCGCGTATGTATTATTCGCACATAATAAATTGTGCTCGGAATGGTTTTCGTTTTGTTTCCCTGGCGGTTCGCGCGAGTGAGTGAGAGCGGACGATATTCCGATGGCGGAAATCTCGAAACCGATTTGTTACAGTAATACGACGACGGGTTATTCGTCACCGCGAACCGTAATAACCGATATTAATATTTTAACGTGTACGATGGCCGATTTCGCCGCCGGTAATTACTTTATATGCGTACATATACAATGTATACAATATTGTGTACGGCGTGGGTTCAACGCCGCGTCCGTATAGTTTTCCGCGTAGGTATTATATGTTTTCGGCGATGATATTTATCGATTCGCTACATAAATTTCGCCGTGGATATGCTATAAAAACATGTATTTTTAAATAAAAAATATTCGATTTTCGTACGGAAATGTATTTCTCGTTTTCAAAACGCACGCAAATTAGACATTGTATACAATTTTAAAACAACCGCAATCAATAGCTTGTATACTGTAACAATTAATAACTGTACAGCACTATACCGTAATAAAATGATGCTATTTTGTATATTTTTGTTCGGATGAAAAAAATACGATTGCATACAAAGTTTTTTTTATATAAGACCGACACGAGAGTGTGAAACGTGCGAGCCAACGTCTAAAAGGAGACGAGAGAAGATTGGCGATTTCGAAAAGAAAATTATTTCGGGGCATGTTCAAACCAAAGAAAAATGAGTGAACAACAGGTGCAAATATATGAAATGAAAACGAATGCTGAAATAAAATAACTGTTCGGAGAAAAAGACATAATCCAGACACTTAAATGAAGAAGATGAATGAGCTGGCTAGGAAACGTATGTATGTCAAATAGTATAGGAATATGCCAGATGCATTGTGGAATAGAAGCCAATAGATAAAAGACCACTAGGCAGGCCGAAAAATAGATGGATGGACTAATCTAAGATCTCCATACATTAAGTGTCAATAATCCGAAAAAAGTAGCAAGCGATAGAGAATAATGAAAAAGACCGTGTAGTGCAGCGAATGGGCCTCGATGACTTTTGAAACTGAAAATAGATAGATTTTGTTCGGACACGTTTTACCGTCGTTACTCTGTATAGATGACGCCGAGAAGTAACCAAACAAATAATTCTCGAATTGATTTTTCAGCGGTTTTCCCCGTCTTCGATTCTTTTATTTCATATTTATGTATTGCATACCATTTTGCCGGCGTTATATTATAATATTGTTGTGTTCTTCACTGCATGCGGCAGTCACGATGGGTTTTGAATTTTTTAGAATCGCTAAAAGATGATCCTTAATAGGTTTAATATTACCGTAGAAGCATTTATTTATACTAAATACTCGGTAGACCGCGCCTTCGATTCGTTTTATGGATAACACGTTAAAGTCAACGTATGTGCGAAAAATACTGACCAATATAATTAGCTAAATCTGTGCGGACGCGTACAATAATTTCATAATATTCCTTGATAATAGTTGACGATTATTATTGATAGCATTTTTTTAAATTCGTGGTGAACATTAAATTTGACTAACGACACTAATTGTATTCGTATATAAATATTATTTAATTATTATCAAGGGGTATTTAACAATTGCTTTTGATCCCATTGAAAAAGTCAACTCAGCTGTACGGCTCTTTAAAACACGGATGTTATGTTGTATTCAATATATTGTGTTAATGTGTGCGGTCTATCTATTATTATTAAGTGTATGGCTATTAATTTTTCGGCAAAATAACCATTGGAATATTGTTAACAAAAAATGATTTAGATTCTGTGCCAAGAGAATAAAGTATTGATTTTACTATTTTTTTTTTTTTTGTGTTTATAAACATTGTTTTTCACTATAAATCAAACAAAAACTTTATAATCACTTTGTTGTAGAATATTAGATTCTGAGCGGAGCAAGGAATGTATCGGGTTTATAATGATGCGTATTTCGTTTTTTGCTGTGGACAACTTTTCTACCAGCAATTATTTCGCTCCGATTTGCAACGATAGCGCTTTTTCTGAAAGGAAATCTGACCGGGGAGGTACTTTAGGAAAGTCATTTTTCGATTTCCCAAGGAGTTTGCCCAATAAATGGGGGGGGGGGGAAACGGGAAAACGTACAAAATGTCGGTATAAGTAGAAAATAAAAAATAAGGGGTTTATATATTTGTTGTCTAAACAATTCGTGTATAGAATATCTTCACCGGCGGCGTTCACTCGAGCATTAATTACGTATGTATTCCTCGCGTAAATGGACGTGGTAAATATATATACTCGTATATGCACAGACGTCCCTCGTCAAGTACTGGCGATCGTATAATATTTTAATCGGCAATAGAAATCCGCCGTGTTCGGAACGCGAACGGTCTCGTGTGCCCGGCTAATAAATTGGATTCCTAATGCTTATCATTACTGTTAATAATGGCGTGCACTACACGACCGGTGTAGGCACTGTTTTGACAAATGAGAGAACGATAATGATGATGATGATGATGACGACGACGATGACGATAATAATGATGGTAGTAGTATAATATACCGCCGCCGTGGAAATCGATGACGGCGGCCGAGAACGGACTCTATTATTATTGTTATTATTATTATTTTTTTTTATTATTTCTTTTATTCGTCACAATATGCGCGATAATAAACGAATATATAGTGTAACGTTATGAGAAACGCACCGACCAGTTTCGCCGAGAGACGATGATTGCAGAGGCTGTTTACCAGCCGCCGCCGCCGCCCGACTTCGCCGTCGGTATTTTTCAAAAATACATATATTTTTTCCACCGTTCTTTCTTCTGGGAGAGTTATTATTTATTTATCGTATTATATATATATATATTTTTTTTTTACCGGTTTTTTTTTCGCTCGCGCCTACTTTCGACGCGACGCGTTCGAGTCGAGTTCTCACTCGTTAACGACTGCTGTGGTTTCCCGCGCGCGGCGGTGTAGCGGCATTCGGGTATAAATATCGCACGGTACAAAAACCGACAGACTAAAATGAAATAAAACCAGCTTTTTTTTTTTTTTTTCATGAAAAAAAAACAGACTTTAATAATATTACACGTTTGGCAATTTAACATTGACGACGTTCACACATTGATAATATCTACGTCTTCTTTTGCTACTAATTCTCCGCGGGTGTTCCGGCCGTCACTATTACTACGAAACGCATCTCTGCACCCGTCTGTATATGCATTGTAACATTTGGTATTTCGATCCGCGTAACGATATTATATTATATTTTTAATATCCGCGGTTATAAAAAGTCCGGGGCGGATCTACGTAAATTGCCATTTTTCAATAATATATACAGGGTGATTCACTAATCACACGGTATCCTGTGGCGATACCAAATTTAGTTATTCAAATGAGAACCTATATCAAAAATTCCTTACATAGACAGAATTAATTTTGGTGTTAAAATTGTTGATTTCCGCCGACCCGTAAACGAGATATTCCACTTTTAAGTTTAAGTTGGGGGGGAGTAATGTAGCACTAATAAAACGCCACACAAACGATACTCTACTACTTTCCCCCTATCTACCTAAACTTAAAAGTGGAATATCTCGTTGAAGGGTTGACGGAAATCAAAAATGTTGACACCAAAATGTATTTGAAGTATAATACTCCGTCTATTTTTGGATATTTTAATATAGGTTTTCATTTGAATAACCAAAGTTGGTATCGCCGCAGGATACTCCATAAATGTTGTGAAAAATCAGAATTTGAATATATGCAAAATTTCACCAAAGAAAAAAAAAACGGATGAGCGCATTTAGTGAATTATATCCTGTATATATAATATATATGGGTTGAAATATCAGAAACAAAAAAAAAAAAAAAAGTATGGTATCATTCATTGTAGACCAAGTCCATTGACTTTGACTTTTTTCTTTTTTTTAGAAATACAATATCCGAAATATTATTCTTTTATCAATTTGTATTAAAGTCGAATTCTATTGGTATTTATATCAGCGGCGTACGCAACGGGAAGGTTGTTGTATCCCCTGGGCATACAAATATACAACAATGATGATTATTTATTTAGTTAAATTCAATCTGGAAATGTATGTAGATACGTGTATTTTAGCGGTGCGTATAGTGAGTTACACGTGGAGACGATCGATATTTTATTGTTTGAAAATTAGATTTTTCGGGATCGCGTTCTGTACACGATTGTTGTTTACTACCCATTATCCCGTCTCACCGAACATTTCGGGTACGCCGTGTATTGATTCGAGCATATACGCCCTGCAGTTCACTAAAATGTTGTGCCGCTGGTTTCGCTTTTATTTTCGCGTCGGTTTTTTTTTTTTTTTATCATAATATACAGTTTTTACCGGCGGGCCAGTTTCCTTCAAACGTGCCCCTCTTGTCGTTTGTTCACCAAAAGAGATATTGAACAATTTCTATGCCATGACAATACATAAAAAACTCAATTCTTTCGGTCATATCTATATATATAAAATAACATGTCCTGACTGACTGATTCATCATCGCCTAGTCCAAATCACTGGACAGCTCTTGCTGAAATTTGGCACACGGATAGCTGTTATGACGTAGGCATCCGCTAAGAAAGGATTTTTTGAAAATTTAACCTCTACGGGAATAAAATAGGAGTTTTTAGGTATATTTGATACGAATATATACTATCTAATTGCTTATTTATTTATTATTGTTTATTCAAGGGTTATCTTGGTTTTACGGAAAAGAAAACTATTATAGTTATTATATCATTATTATTTACACTATTGAAATTTTTCAACAGAACACATTTAGTCCGTAGACTACCCACGTTCCACCCATTTGTTTTCATTAAATTCTGGCACGGGTAACGCCGGGCACGGAATAGCTAGTATGTATACATATATACATACGGCATTGATTTCATTCGTTGATTTGTAATTCAGTAATGAAAATTATTTAGATTTATACGGCATGTTTTTATTGAAAAAAATTATATTATTGTGTATTTTTTTGGTAACAGTTTATTGTATTTGTGATATTTTCTATTAATTTTTACAAAGAAAAAAAAATGTTAATAAGTATTCGATATTTCCTTTTATTTTCCGAATAACAGTCTGGATGTTCAAGTGTGAAAATATGAACAATGCCAAGTTTCAGTAACTGTTTCGCGCGTCGGCGAACTCTTGGCTAAAATTGATCAATAATCTTTGTTTTCGAAAACGGGAGAGGTGAGGTTCATTCTGGTGGAAAACGACAAGGGAAATATGTTCGTTTTGGTGGAAAACTGTGACGCCCGGTTTCGCCACCGTATCGTGGCTCGGGGTTAGGGCAGGTATACATAGTAAAATAACACACTCGTTATTTATCATTATAATCGCGTAGAAAATTATAATTTATATTATCGCCCGCCTCTGCAGGTGTATCGGCGCTATGATTTATATATCTCGCGTGTGTTTTGTTGTGGTATGCGTCCGTTTATGTTATTATGTCGAATATTTCGTTCGCCCGCGGACCGGTTCGATTGGATAATTGAGTGAAAATTGCTCATCATTGCTTTCACCCCGACGATTTGTTCGCGCGTTATAATATACATATTATTTACGTATATCATATACATCTATCGTATATTATAATATTATTTATATTATAAACGTGTGGTGCCCGCCTTCCGCTCGCCAATTTAGTATTCCGAATTTAACGGCTTGTCCGTCGTGTAAATATTCGTAAATTGACCGTGAACTATCTGCCGCGCCCAGCTTGTATCATATTACCGTCGAAGCATCGGTGTGTCCTCGAAATTTCGAAAATCGCAACAGAACGAACGAGAAAAAAAACCATTCCGGCAAACGATAATTTTACCATTCGTGAGTCGAGCTATGCATGCGTATTATATAGCTTAAGTTAACAGTTAACCCTATAAAGAAGTTCCTGCCTCGTAAAGTGGCCCGATTTCAATAACAGATTGTTTTCTGAAAGACGAAGAGTTCTTACACAGAGTTGATTCGGTTGGGATTTTGAAAATTATATTTACAATCGCTATAATTAGAATTTGAATACGATCGATTTTTACTATTTTTTCACTTCGTGGTTTTTGATTGCTTATAATCAAAAATCAAAGTCCAATCAGATATATTCGTCTATGTATAGTATGTTATCCTATTACAAAAAAAAAAAAAAAAAAAAAAAAAAAAAAACAACGAGCTGATACTGGGGATGAGAGCCACCACTGTTGTAGATGAGAAGTTGGGAAGGTAAGATACATAAGGTTATTTCATTTATATTTGTAAGCAACAATAAACCATTGCTTGACGGAAGACGATTCCGAGCGTAGTTCGGTATTACATAATTTTGAAGTGCCGTAATTTTTTTTTTTGCGATTTTCATTTAAATTTGTTTTCAAAACGCTTATTAAAAAAAAAAAAAAGTCATCCGATGATTTTGTAAATTTTACCACATCTAGGTAAGTCCAATATAAGTATTATTACTAAGTTTCAAGTCTACGTGTATTTATAACCGAATTACAGTAAAAAATACTCCAAAAAATTTAAATTCCTTAAAAGCTCAAAAGTGGCTCAAAAGTTTTGACAATGATACCTTAGTAAAAGTAAATCAAAAAAGAAACAAAAAAGGTGTCTTGTGATTTTTTGATTAAATTATTTTTTCTGGTAGTAAACGTCCGTGTTTTTATAAAACAATGAAAACGTAATACCGTACGTTTTCCTACGTTTTTTCCCACTTAATTGCTTTTATTTAAAAAATGGCGTCAAAAATCAATAAATGACCTCTTTAAAGTACCTTCTAGACAACTTGAGCTTTCATAAAAATTGTTATACGTAAAAATCGGAGTAAGTTTACTAGGAAAAAACGTGTCCACAGGCTAGAACAAAGTAAGAAAGAAAGAAAAAAAGTAAATATCTTAGTAAAAATAATAGCTCTCTCGCTACGCTCGCAATCTAAAAACAAATATCGAAATCTGACATCTCTACAAGGTAGAGTGTTTCCTGTAAACCATGTTTTCGACAGGACTGATTGAATTGACCCATTATCAAGACGTAAGCACATAATCAGTATTTGTACGTCGATTTTACATTTTGTGCCTTATATTTTATTTCCAATTGAATCTAGGGAGATGGAATTTCGTATATTTATGGAGTTTTAGTATCAAGAATGTGCCTAATGGAGTTTTTAACTTCCAACCCCCATGCCTATCATTATTCTATGCACGAATTTCACAAATAACGAAACAATAATTGTCCCCATCTTCTAGTTTTCAATCTGAATATCAGAACTCTGTCGAAGTATTGATAAAAATCTCATTAATAAATTCCATCGCCTCGATTACACTTGATAATCAATTTGATTATAGAAACTCGATGTTCCTCGAAAATTGTATGCGTCTGATCGCCTTTCGATTCCAACATCCACTTCCAATAGACAACCAATGAACACATATGACCGGGGCGCGAGGCAAAAGTATGTATAATAAGGGTTTATTATGAACATAATCAATCCGGCTGCAGTATTCCGTTTGATTGAAAACTATATTGAAGACGAGAAAAATTGTTTAATGAGGAACGTATCGTGGCGTGTTTGTTGGCATTGTAAATTGGACGCACATCGAGCGAAGCAATCGCTGATGGTTTTTTTAGATTTGTCGAGGACCATCGATGAGAAATACATAGGATTTCTAATGAAGAACACGCGGAATATTATATAACATTGTATATATATGTATGATATGTGACCGTACCGTGAGTGTTTTTTGTTTTTTTTTTTTTTTGGATTTCTCCTCTATAAACACACTACACTACAGTATAGGTACTCCCAATTTGAAATTTCTGGAAACGTCGTGAAGAAACCGCGGTTAACAAGTAGTCGCGCCGGTATCACGTCTCTTAGTTTGTCAGACACGTACGTCATATCATTACTATCATTACTCGATATCATCAAATGTGGTCATCATTATAAACGCGCGGTATTGGCGGTATACCGGAGAAATTCACATGGCGGTGTTGTACCGCGACCGGTTTTAATAAAATATATTTTATAATATTTCACCACATATACCATAAAACTAAAGAGAATAATATGTCTGACGGAAGTTATTTTTTTTTACAATTTATTTCATTAATTAAAAATCGTATATTAGGAATATAATGTGCATTGTTGATTGCGTTTAAACGACCAAATCTAGGTGAATAACTTCGCCGCCACTGGCCTATAATATACCTAAGCTAATATACAAGTAATAATTAAGTATATTATTATTAGGTACTATATTGTGTTTCCTGTATTTTCAGTCGACCACACGCACATATACGCTCTTATAAACGGTGCATGTAGAGCGGCACGTGTGTTCGACTAATCGTGAAGCTGTTATATTTGCAATCTAATGATGGGCACGCCTAATTTTTTATTTTATAAATATACGCAGTGCGAGTATAAGTGCAATACGACCTTTTTCACGGGCGATGCTGAAAAATGATACGAAGTTTTTTCGTTGCGACTAGCAATATTGTACACCTAATATGAAAACTGCTATTTCCAAATCGTTTTGTATAAATGCGTATAGTTATTATTGAAAATCATTAAAAACAGCAGGTCATTCTTCTTATTATTATTACTCGGCTTTTTATAGGCCTTTCGGACCCATTGCCAACGTGTATTTGTCAGACGAAGACAGCACGTAAGGATATCACACTCTCTTAACTTTATAAAATATTAAAATATTAAAATATTATTTACTCAACTACCTAATTTAATTTTCACTCAACTTTTCACTATTCATTTTATTTAAATATTATACTAAAGTTAATGTCCTCGGTCTAAGACGAATATGTTTGAGGCCCGTTCTTACAATATCCGGTTAGTACTAATCGGCGGTTAAATTTGCCGTACACCGTCAAATTAGTTGGTTAACTAACGGTTTGCACTAACCGAAACTGTATTACGGGACACTGGAAAATTTTTTTTTATTATTATTATTTAACTTGCTGTATTGAAAATATATGTTGTATAATGTTATTTTCTTTTGTTTGTTTTTGTAACGATGTACAACGCGTAACCGTTTGACTTATTTGTTTATCCGAAATACTTTTTATCAATAATATTGGTGGGCGTAATGAAGATAATGAATAAAATTAGAAAGTGTTTACATTTTTTTTTTTTATCTTCTTTTGAGATTATTGATTTTTTTTTCTTCTTCGAAACGTTATGGGTTTATAAGCCGTAAACAGCTATATATACATGTCTACACACTATACTTCCCGTATATTAATTAGTTTTATAATACTCGTTTAGTGAATTATTTGGCGCTTTTTTTTTTCTTTATAAAACGTCATAGTCATTGTATAAATCATCATATATCGCGTTATCCGGTTGTATACTATATGAATACCGTGAAAGAATATTAGAAAATTTATGAATATTAACAATATTATTATTTTAAACACAAACTCGACTGGCGAGATAATCGCCATTGTGCGGTCAAATTATTAATAATTTTTTAATCGAATTTCACTTTCGCGTACCTATAAATTATAATATGTATTTTATCTTCATTCTGACAATTATTAGACAATTAATTGGATAATAATATACGAGTATTTATGTATAGCCTGCAGTGAGTGTCTAAAATATCGTATAAACATCATCTCCGCGTGTAGTTTCCACGAATATAATTTAAAACAACTGCTGGAGGATAGCCAGGGCTCTAAATGGATATAAACAGGAAGCCTAGCAGCTATATAAAAAAAACTAAGAGGGCAAACTTTATTGATTGACCCGTGAAATATTGATTGCGTGTGTTTTCGTGAATTATGTAATGATATGAAAAATATTCGAAATTGTTTCTATATCAAGTCTATATACGCCTAAACAGGTTTCTATATTATCATTGTCATAGGTATCTTTGGTCCCAGAGAAGATAAAAGCTTAAGTCAACTTAAGTCATTTTTTGTTTATAATTTTGCCTTGTGTAATTTTTTACCTAAATTTGATGGTCTAAAATCTAAATGGTTTGAGTGTATGCAGGTATATTGTGGCACATTATTTACTGAAAACTCAAATATCTAAGTTACTGTAATATGGTGTATTAATTTTATAGTAATTTAGCCATTTAGAAATTCTTTAAATTTAATTTGATTGTACTGAAAATGTTAACAATGGACTTATATTAAGAGGACGCTACACGTGTATTTGTTATGTCTGTCTTACAAAAGTACTTGTCAGATTTATGTTCGGTATAGACAACTTTGTGCTGTTTGTTGTATTGTTAGAACCCATTGAGCAATTATTAAACTTAAAAGTAAGAAGAAGTTATTTTAATTTTTAAGTATGATATTAGCAATTTTAAATATTGATATTTCGTATATTTATACCTATAAATTAAAACAACGAAATAACTAACAAAGATAATGTTCTTGCCTTTAAATTTGATAATAATTGAGTATATTCTAATATTAAAACAGTTATCTTTGCTAATCGCAAAGACCAGAGGTATTTCAGCCGGATTTGAGTTCCGTTTTCGGAAAATGATAGAGGATATTGAAATGCACACTTTAGGACAAATTTCAGTTGTTTGAACCTTTCGATACATACATGTGTAATATAAATTACTATTTTTGACTCTGGATTCGAATGATCCTATTTTTTCATACAATTTTAATCAATATAATGTTTTTATCTCAAAATTACTTTTAAGTACAGCCATCTAAATAAAGTTGGTTTAAAAATGTAGTTTTTTATCGAATTCAAAGTTACTTAAAAAATAGAACTATACAAATCGATTGTCATAAGTAGGTGTTGCTATTCAAGAAAAGTAAATTTTTATTGCACCGCAATTGTTAAAAATCTGAAATGTATCTTAAAATGTATGTTCCAGTACTCATCTAGCCGAAATATTTAGTGCTGTTACCAGGAAACGTAATTATAGTATGTATATCTGTGGTGGTTACTAAAACAAAAGAAAGAAAAACCATATAATTCGTAGGTATATGGTATAAATGCCCTAAACTATTTTTATCTATACACACGTATAATATACCACAATTTTGTGCCGTTATCGTCGAAAAACGTAAAAAAAAATTTAAAAAAATCATACTTTTTAAATTCGCGTATACATCATCACGGTGCATTGTTATATCATTCGACCAGAAAATACTATCATTTTCTTATTGTCCCATTCGTTAATTATAATTATTTAACCTGCGAGAATACAATAATAATTTTTAGCGTTGTCTGCGGTACCTATAATACCATCATGTATCCTATTATGCATTATTATCGTTTCGATTATATTCGGGTGGTTAGCACGTTATGTACGGTCCGACGACATTTTACTATTATTTATACATGGTAAAATCGTTTTAGTATATACAAAAAAAAAAAAAAATTAAAAAATACACCATCGTAGTATAATATTAACATATCGTTACAGCTGAAACGTACTTATACGTATATATTAAATCTATTCTTAAATATATTAAGATATATCAACACACTCGTCTCGTACGTTATTTCAACACCGAAAATGTGCGAACGGTGTCGTTCTTAATAATCGGTTGCGTTGGCAACTATTAAAATTAAGTTTCGATTTCAATATGCCGGTCCTAAAGTGTATTGTGCGATTATTATGTACTGTCGACTGTTTAAAATGTCGAAAAATAAAAATCTGGTCGTATATTAAATCGAAGATCATTGGACTATGAGAAAAAAAACCACAATTTTTCGCGGTTCACTCGATATTATAACGTATAATATATTATATATTTTTTGGGACTTTTTTTTTTGTAATACGTAATTTTCGGTTAATATAATTTATTTCCGTCGTTGTTATTTTTATATAACGCAGGTATATCATTATTATTATTATACCTTTGACAGTTTTCGGTCCACTTATATCTCCGCTGTTGCGAAATAATTATTTGTCAACGTTTTTACACGGAAAAACAGTTTTACGCAAAACAAAGCCATTCTTTTAATAATTATGATAGATTGATCATTTTTTTTTTTGTTTTAATAAGGAAAAAATTGTCTGTGACGTAGTGTTTTCCATTTTTCAATAACTTATCTCAATGATTTTGTATTCATAAACAAAAAACTTAAAATATTTACAAACTTTAAAAATTAATATTTTTAAACCTTTTTGTATCAGCTAAAAAATAAAAACGCTACGTCATAGCTAAAATTCTTCTTATTAAAACAAAAAAAAAAATAAATTGTCTATTTATCATAATTATTAACAAAATGGTTCTGTTACTCGACAACTATGATTTTACGCACAAATTACGGGTGTATCACGTCCTCTTAATGGGTACTCGCCTGTCAGAATATATATAAATAATATAGTGATTCCTTTGATCCAAATATTACCATTTTTATATTTAATATTATAATAAATGTATTTGTCTTACCCAATTCCTCCGGTCTAAGTTCTAAACTACAATAACTAATAAAAAAAAAAATACGCGTACTTTCTTTCTTTTTATTTTCCTAATCTACGTTGACAAGGTTTGGTGAGTAACCATTTGAAGATCGAAAGTAATAATACGGAATAGACGTAAAAATTAGTTGAAAATAGCGTTGAAATAAGTGGTTGATTCGTCTTATTTAATCACTACGAATAAATAAATAAATTCGAATTTCTAGAAATTGCATAGATAATATTACAGAGTAATCTTGGCAGTTGTGATATTTTGGATTCTGATGTACACATTATTCATCTGTGATTAACCCTCTCATAAAATATACTATAATTTTTAAAAATTGTTCGTTGTAACGTTTATTCAATTTGCTATTAAAAATAAAAATAAAAAACCTTTTAAATTAAAAAATAATTGAAGTAAACAAACACAATGTTATTATTATTATGACATATTTACTCCGGTAAACCGTTCTACTGGGAAAACTTGAGCAAAATTTCAAATGGAATTTCGTGGCGATCATCGCGATTGTGGGTGGACAATCAAAATCGGCAATTCGAGGTGAAAATGCTTCGCATCGCCACTGTTTGGGATATACTTGACCCAAACAGTCTTCTAATTTCCATCGCCCGTACGCTACCGATACTGACGATATTTTATAGAATAATATAAATTAACAATACAATATAGGTGTATTATAATTCAATAACTGTACATTTGTATTTGTTTTTTCTCCCGCAGGTGATCGCTTGTGAACAACAGCGCGATTCGTCCTACGACAGCCGGTGCGATGTGTGGTCGCTGGGTATAACGGCGATCGAGTTGGCCACCGGAGACCCGCCGCTCAGCGGACTGCACCCGATGCGGGCCCTGTTCCAGATACCGCGGGACCCGCCGCCGGTGCTGCCGCTGTCGGCCCGGCCGGACGCTCCCAGGCTCACGCACTTCGTGGCCCGGTGTCTGATTAAAGACTTCGAACAACGGCCGACCACCGCCATACTCATACACGACCCGTTCATCGTTCACGGGTCAAAGTGCATACACAGAGTGAGCGCGAACACAATTAATGTATTTACAACTCTGTGTATAATATTCAGGGTCGAGATCTCGGAATTTGCATCAAGTTCGATATTCGTTAGAAATCGTAACTCAAACTTAAACACTGAAAAAAATAAAAAAAAGATATCTAAATTGGGGACGGGTGTACCACTCAGATAAGTGGGAAGTTGGGATTTGGGAAGGTAGAAAGCAGGCGAAACATAATTCTGTGTGAAGTTCAGTTACACACGTTTTAAAATTCCGTAATTTTTACGATTTTATTCAAAATTTGATTTTAAAACTCCTATCAAAATAAAAAATACTTCATTATAATGATTTTTTTTTTTACCACTGAGTACAAGTTATAATGAACTTCATGTTAATTTTTCAATCATTTCAAAAAATCATATCCACAATAGGTACTATGTGAATATTATTATTTTTTCTTTTTTGTATAATCTGTAAAATAATATTTAATATAGGTACAAGTGAAGGGTTTAACAGTTTACGAGTATCGAGACAGTAGGCGTGAGCGAAGAGGCCAACCATTGTTTGTACCTCAGGTTCTATGCGGATATAATAAATAAAAACTACGTAAAAAACACGCAAACATAAAATGCGTTTAAATAGCTCAAAAATCGCCAAATTTTGGCAAATATAATATGTTTTCTGTCAAAATGTCGAGTCTCTACGAATACTTTTATCTGAATTACAATAAAAACCAAATTAAAAAAAGAGTTGATGAGACGGATGCAATGGCCACTGTAGGTGGGTAGTCGAGAATATGGGATACATAAAATTATTTAATTTATACCTGTAACCAACTATAAACCATTGCTAATAAAAAACGATTTGGAGCGATTTTCGGTTATACATGTTTTGAAAGGCCTTAATATTTACGATTCTCGTAAAAATTTAATTTTAAAACTTATCAAAATAAAAATACTTCATAACACTTATTATTTTTTTTTTAACCACCAAATATGACTTAAAATAAACCTTTCCTGTCAAATTCTAAAGAATTTCTGTTTGGTCCAACGATTTTATCCACAGAATAAAAAATTACGCAAAAACTAGCAAAATTAAATTATCTATAAATAGTTCAAAAATAGCTTAAATGTTTTGAGAATTTTACCATGTCTAGAAAAAGCAAATATAAGTTTTCTGTAAAAATCTTAAATCTCTATTAATATTTTTAACTAAAAAAACAAAATTGAAAATTACAAATTAATTATTTTCTTAAAATTGACCGTTCTTTCTACGTTTTCTCGATTTCGCTTAATTATTAAAAAAACTACTAAGAGAATAAAAAAAAACGACTTTCTTGGTCATCTTCTAAATTAAAAATTCAACAATAAAGGTCACTTGTCGTTTTTAGACTGGAGCAATATTTCTGTCAGACATTTTTATGTTGCAAAAATTAAAAATAATTTAATATGTATTTTATTTTGTAAGTTTTTTACGTAATTTTTGTTCGGTAGGTAGGTTTTCTGTGGATACAATTGTTAGACAGGAAATTTACCTATTATAAGTCATATTTTGTAATAAAAAAAAAAATTGGGTTTAATTTAGTATTTATTTCATAAGAATTTTAATATAAAATTCCGACGAAAATCGTAAATATTACGGTCTTTCAAAACAAATAATTAAACTCTGCTCCGAATAATTTATCGTTGTGTAGGTTGTAGGTACAAATATAAATTAAATTCTCATATATATATATATATTATATCCTATCTTCCTAACTTCTCGCCTTCAACAGTGGTCCACCCGTCGTGTGAAGTATGTCTGTCTTTTTTTTATTGTTATTCTGTTAAAATATTCGGAGAAACCTTAAATTCTCACAGAATAATTTATATTACATCATTCTAGACATCGTAAAATGTTTAAAACATTCACGTAATGTTTATCTAATTTTTTTTTTTTTTTATTGATCTAAATACATCGACATCTGGATCATTAGTATATAGACATTTTAAATATTACATTTTTATTAATACATAGATACTTAAATTAAATTACATAAATCAGATTTTTTTTAAAATAAAATTAAGTTTCTTATATCAAGTGGGTTTGGTCCGAGCACTTAGCAGATTTGTTCAGATATGTGGAATTGGTTGTGAAAGAGTTGGTATTTTTGATATTCAGTGATGATGGGGTTGACCGTTAATGAAGCTCCAAAATTTTTACATAATGAGGGTTTATTTTCTCATCAAGAAGCTGTGCATTAGGTGTGTCTGTCCAATTCGGAGTCGGTTAATTATAGTTTCGTCTTTTCTACTGAGTTCGATATTAAGCCATCAGTTAAGTCTATTTTTTATATTCCATCAATTACTATATAGTTTTCATATTAATGGACACTTTGGACATACATATAATATAAACGGATATAATAGATGTTTAACTGAATCGTTTTGATAAATTCAAAAACAATTCAATTTAAAACCGTTTTAACATTATTATTTAAACATATTAATTCTATGTTATTATTTTAATTTATATTAATGTCAATTATTAATGCGCGCAGGTACGCGAAGAACTCAAAGCAGAAATACGATACCAAAAAGAAGTAAGTGGTAGAGTGCAAAAACATCCGGATGTAACCACCAAACATGGTAAACTCAAAAGTAAACGAAAAAATCCTCCTACCACGATCTATGTCGACGACTTAGCTGCTCTAGATAGTCTTTCGGAGGTATGTACTACTCTCCTCCCCCCCACCCATTTGGCGCCTGGCGAAATCATTATCTATTTTTATTTTCAGGAAAGAATAGTTAATCAGCTAAAAAAAAGATACCAAATGAATTTGATTTACACATATATCGGTGATATTTTGTTGGCTATAAATCCGTTTACGTCGCTCTCGTTGTACACATCGGCGGTTAGTAATGAATAATCTTCCATATGATTATATTCTTCGCTTTTTCCTTTCATCTCCTTATATCTCCACTATAACCCTATAACCTCAATTTAATATCTTTTTTGACCTTCTTCTTCTTCCTTGTGATCATCAATACTTTTCATATTTATCTTCCCATCATCTTGACTACCTTATTGTTTCTACTTAGTATTAGTAATATTACATTCTTTCAGGAACAAAAGAAATATTGCAATCAAATGAGAGCAGCATGTCCGCCACACATTTTTGCAATAGCCGACTCAGCCTATCAGTTTATGCTCCATGAAAAAGCCAACCAGTCTATAGTGATAAGCGGCGAAAGCGGTGCCGGCAAAACCGAATCCGGTAACCTGTTGCTGAAACAGCTCGTATACCTTGGAAAGGTGAGTAATCACCTGTATGGATGAAAAATGTTATGTTTCGTTTGCCTAATAATTTTACATTGTTGTTTTCTATAGGCGCCGAATAGAAATCTAGAGCAAAGAATACTCCAGATGAACCCAATCATGGAAGCATTCGGAAATGCCAGGACTGGAATTAATAATAATTCATCGCGATTTGGGAAATTTTTAGAATTAAGTATGACCAGAAGTGGCCAATTGACTGGCGCAAGAGTGTCAGTATACTTGTTAGAGCAATCGAGAGTCATTCAACAAGCGAAGTACGGTCTTGTTCAAATTTTAGCAACTATTATAATTTTGTATTGGTTTTTCTCGTTGTTTTTATTTTCATGTTTTTTTATTTTTTCCCAGTGGAGAGAGTAATTTTCACGCATTTTACTACATTTACGACGGATTGGAACACGATAAAAGGCTTAAAGAATTTCATTTGGATCGTGAATTAAGACAAATGCACAGTTATCTTCCATCTGACCGTCAAGACAGCAAAACTAAACAAGTAAAACAAAATTTATCTGCATTAGTCTGTTCAGAATTTGTTTTATTTATGTATTATAAATAATATATGAATTTTGGTTTGTTTTAGAATAATGTAGACAAATTTGCTCAATTGAAAAACGCTTTTGAACAAGTTGGCTTTATAGAAGAAGAAGTAAATTCTATTTACTGTATTTTAGCAGCCATATTGCATTTGGGCGATATTGAATTTAGTGAAATCATGACTGACAACAATACAGATAATAAGAGTACTGTTATTGATCTAACACCAATTCATAGAAGTAATTATTATTTATTTTTTTATCAGTAATATTTTTTATACATTTTTTTCAAAACAATGCTTTAATTTTTTTAGCCTCGTGTTTGTTAGACATCGAAAGTTCAGACTTATTAGAATGTTTGAGTGTTAACAGTGTGGTAACCAGGGGTGAAATTATACAAAGAAATAATTCCGTATCAGAAGCTGTAGCCACCAGAGATGCTATTGCTCGAGCCTTATATAGTCGATTATTCGATTGGTTGGTAAACTCTATAAATAGTTTGTTGTCATTTCACCATACCAGGTAATTTAAAAATTGTTAGATTATATTTTTATTAATATATTTGAAAATAAAAAATAATCATTTTTATTTGCAGAGGTGAATACAATGTAATCGGAATATTAGATATTTTCGGTTTTGAAAATTTCACATACAACTCATTTGAACAACTATGCATAAATATTGCTAATGAGCAACTTCAATATTTTTTCAATCAACACGTTTTTGCCTTGGAGCAAGCTGTTAGTGAAAATAAAATTGTTATTAGCTTAAATAACTTGTAACTATTACATAATATTTTCAGGAATATGAATCGGAGGGTGTTCCTGTTCAACATGTTGGTTTTTGTGACAACAGACCTGTATTGGATATGCTTGTGAGTAGACCAATGGGCCTTTTAGCATTACTTGATGAGGAAAGTCGTTTTCCAAGAGCAACAGATCGGTCCCTTGTTGGTATGTCATGTATTACTGTTCGTTAATCATTTTATTGTTTTTAATTCTAAACATACTATTGTTCTTGGTTTATAGAAAAATTTCATTGTAATATTAAATGTACCTATTATGTGCGACCAAAATCAAATGCTTTACAATTTGAAGTTAAACATTTTGCGGGCAACGTGACTTATCAGGCTACTGGAATGCTTGAAAAAAATAGACATCTATTAGCTATAGAAGCCATTCAAGTATTAAGAAAATCCAGTAATAAAACCGTCCGAGCATTGTTCCAATGCCCAGTAACCAAAACAGGCAACCTTTATTCTCAAGTAATCCATTGTTTTATTTTTTCTTAACTTTCTTTGGTATTTAATTGTGTAATAATAGTATGTGTTGATATTTTGTTTAGGATTCGTCAATGGGATTAGTTGGACTTGCTTCACAATCGCGAGGCCAACAAACTGCAGCAACATACTTTAGACATTCATTAGCCGAACTGTTACATCGTATGGGATGTAATAATTCTGGTGTAAGTCTACCGAGGTTTGTCCGCTGTATTAAACCCAATGACCAAAGAAAACCAAAACAATTCGATCCTCTAAAAGTTGTTGCACAATTACGCTGTAGCGGAGTAATGGAAACAATTAGAATCAGGCGAAATGGATATTCACACAGATTACTGTTTAAAGAATTTATAAATAGGTGAGTGTGCTCCTTATAATAATCCTCTGATCAATATAATGTTATGATAGTTAGGTACAATACACAATATGAGGTTATAAGGTATTATCATACAGCAATATTATAAATATATGAACATTTATTGATCAATGTCTCAAAGAAATTTAATTTATTTTCTTCGTGTTGTAAAACAGTTTTATGTTCATTAAGCTCTTAAATGTAAATTGCAATTTTATATTTAATGTATACTAATTATACATATAATTACATGATGGATATTCTTTTATATTTTATCTTTGATTTTATCTGTCCAAACAATATCCCACCCTTAACTAATTTCTGACGGAAAAAAAAAGTTGAGACTAACTATAAAGTAAATAGATTTTTTATGACAACTTTCTCTTCAAACTTTATATTTGAAGTGAAATTTAAAAATTTTAAATTATTAAATGAATGTGCTTGAAAAATTATTTTGAGCATATACATATTTTTTTCAAACTTGTATTATTTTATTATAGTTATTATGTATATATTTATGTATACTTGTATGAAAAAATTTCATTCACAATATTTTTGTTGTCTAAACACACTTTTATACTCATTTAGTATGTGTACAATAATTTGCAATTTAATATTAAAATGAAAAAAAAAAAACAAATTGTTAATGACAAAAGCCATAAAAATAAGGTAAAGATTTTATATTTTTGATTTCAAATATAATTGGAAAAAAGTAATAAAAAACATTTATAATTAATATATAGATAATTATAGTACAATTTAAATCAAATTTAATATTAAAAATGTAAAAAAAAAATATGTCACACCCAAAATAACTTTAAAATAACAAAATAACTAAGCTATATAAATATGAAAAAAGTTTTCAAGAAAAATTTGTTTGCTTTGTAGTTTGTTTCATCCATTTTATTTATTATTATTTTTTTGTTTTTGTTTTTTGGGGGGTTGGTGGATTTGCTTGTTTTGTGCTAAGTTTATTTTATTTTAATAATATTGACTATTGAGTAATTATTGTCTATACAAAAGTTATTAATTTTTTAAGTTATCACAGTTATAACAGTTTGTTTAAATATTATGTTATTTAAATCATATCAGTAATTATTTAATCCAATTTACAGATATGCAATATTAGGATTCCGGTTGTATGAAAAAGTTCCACCAACTAGAGATAACTGCAGACACTTGTTAGTTAAGTTGAAATTGGATGGTTGGGCGATTGGAAAAACCAAAGTATTCCTTAAGTATTATCACATTGAACACTTGACTAAATTACACGAAAAACAAGTAATGCCTACTATTTTTTTTTAAATATGTTTTATGTTTGATATTACATGTTTTTGTTTAATTTTTTGCCTGTAGCTTCGTCATATTATAATAGTACAAAGTTGTATACGAAGATGGCTGGCAATGAAACATTATAGAGAAGCTTTACTGGCCAAACAAATGTCATGGGGAGTTTTGACATTGCAGAAGCACGCCAGAGGATGGCTTGCTAGACAAAAGAAAAAAAAGACCAAAGGAGAAATACCTGTAGGAGAAGTGGCCCCGATATATAGGCAGGAACCAAGAGAAAACGATATTTCTATCAAAAATCAAAATAAAGTCAGCCCAACTATTGTATCAGAAAACAAAAAAACCTATATCCAAGTATGTAACACAGAATATAGATGTTTTAATAATTATCATCCATTGTGATACTGATTAAATTATAATAATTTTGTATTAATTTATTTTTAGCAAAACGGTGTTAAGGTATTGCCTTGTAAAATACAACAGAAAGTAGAAAGAGAAAAACATTTGATTGACTTCGCTAAAAATGTAAGTATTATTCATTAGTTTTTATTATTATTTTTTTTTTTTGTTTTTATTATACATATAATACTAAGGCTGTGAATTTAATACACACAAAATATTTACAAATAAAATAGAAAATTAGTAGTTTTTATTGATTTTAATAGTTTTTTACTGGTACTTGATTCTGCCTTTATATTAAATTTTATTCAAATTCACAGCCTATAATATATAAAATATAATGTATAATGTACCGTGAATAATAAAAAGGTTCACAATCGCAACAAAGAATTCTACAAAGTCATTAAGAAAACAAATATTTCTGTTTGTTTGAAAAATTTGAAAGACATTAATACAACAGGTCAGGTATGCACTTGTACTAATAGATTTCTCCTTTAGTTTTGGCGGTGCATGTAGTGTACGTGCGACATTAGAAAAGTAGACTATTAGTTGTTTTATTATATATTATATTTTATTTTATTTTGATGGACATCAAATTAAATGTGTCTTGTTGTTCACTACGTACCGCAACATTGGTGTAGAATAACAAAGTATTTAGGTTAGAGTTGGGCATCTGAAATTGTTCGATTTTAAACATTTGGATTTGAACACAAAATATTGACATTTTAAATTTTTTTTTTATTAATTTCACCATAGCTACCCATAGCTAATAAATGAATTTTAGTATTAGTCTCCTTGCCTCACTAAAAACTAATTATTGATTATAAGAATAGGGTAGTTTATACAAATAGTGTAAACTGTCTATTGCTCAATTTAACATTATTACATGTTATTACTAGGGCCCGGATTTATATGCTCTGGAAACCTTAGAAATATGCACTATTAAATATGCATTTATGCTTTTATATTGTAGAAATACAACATTTGTAATAAACATTATGCACAAAAAAATTGATTTTCAAAAAAAAAAATATATTTTACTTTTATTATTTATATATTATAAAAATAAACTAAATAAAACTTTGTATTCCAATTCTATTGACTATAATTCAAACTTGTAGCTTATCTAGCTACTTTTTGGACTGCTAAAAAAAAACATAAATCCGGACCTTAGTTATTACCTTTATTAATCATTTGTATAATTCAACAATTGTTTTGTTTTATTTTACAGAAAGGTTTGGTGCACAATGCCATTAAAAAACTCGTAACTGAAAATTATTGTAAATTTGATTCCGATAACAGGTAAGAATACAATTTAATAATGATTTTAGTTGTACCTATTTATATATTATATTATTGTTCTTGTAGATTAAATACGATAACTGAAAAACCAAACAACACCCAACCAATAAATAAATCTAATTGGGTTTCCCCATTGAGGTCAGTATATTGACAAGAAAATAATTACTCTCACTAGATGCATCCACTCAGTAAAATTAATAACAATATTTATTGCGTACAGATTAACGCCTCCCGATATTAACAGACTACCGGAAGGATTCGATTTCAGACAATTATTGAGGCCAACTCAGCACGCACCCACCGAATCCTTACGCAAAAGGCTGGTACAAAGGTCCAGACCTGTAGCTGCCAATGCCAAAGGATAACATTTCAAAATTAAAATTGGCTATTTTATTAACAGTATTTAATATTTACTATTTTTTTTTTCTAATAATTGTTGAAATTGTTAAATATTTAAGTTTTTATTTTTTTGTAAAGAAACAAAATGACATTTGAGATTTTCTAGTCCGAATGTGAAAAAAAATTATTATTATTATTATTATTATATATATATAATTTTTTTTTTTTATCTTAAATTAAAATATATTTTTATAGTTCCTCTAACTCCAATAAATTGAACCAAAAATATGTATTTAACTTATAAAATTAACAAAATTTAAATATTTTTAAGTTATTGTAAGATTTTTATTATATCAACAATGTTCCTTAAGTGACTTTTTTTAAGTTTCTAAAATTCTAAAAAGGGCCCATTATAATATAGTTCAAAACACTTATTAACTTTGCATAACATAATATATATTTTATTTTTACACTGTCTATAATTTATAATATATATCGTTAATATGATCAGTATTGAGTGAAATTCTCATTATTATAAAATAATTTATATTTTATTGTTGTAATGATAATTTTTATTTTCACTGATTTTTTAAAATATGTTCACGTTTCATTGTGGAAACAGATTTCATTAATCTTAAGTTAAAAAATTAAAAATATAATATTTTATAATTTTTTTTTTTATATTATAGTTAAAGTATATAAAAATGCAATTGAAGTGATATTATTAAACTTAATTGCATTGTTTATTGACAATATTGAATAGTTTTTTTTTTGTAACTTGATCAATATTACTCTAATATCTAAATTAATTTTCTAATAGCTAGGGCAGTGAATTTGTAGTAAAGTGCATTTGTTTTTTTGGTGATTGAGTAAAAGTAGCTTTGTAAGTGCATAACTTAAATCATGAAACTTTGCATTCTTTTAAGTTTTTAATTTTTTAGGTAATCTTTTTGCCTTTTTAGGTTATATTTTCCTTTTTTAGTTTATTTTTGGATATTTTTAATCAAATTCCGTCAATTAACATCATTGAAAACATTTTTTTTGTTTTACACAAGCTGTATATATGTCAAATTTATATTTTATACAATGTTAAGTTTGTTTTATTATTTTAACAAAATAAATGCAAAAAACAAATTTTTAAACAAAAGTTCAGGTGAATAGAATTATTAAAGAATCAATCAACTTAAATCAACATTTTTATAATTTGTTTTTATTAAATAAATACATTTTTATGCATATAGTATACTTATATCAATAAGAATATACAAATTAAATTAAAAACCATTATTTTGTATTTGTATTGTTGTTTAATAAATAAGAAAATTAGTAAAATATAATTTAAACCAATAACAAAATATGTTTATTTTAACAGTAACATTTCTTTTACAATCAAAATTCTAATCAACATATAACTTATGCAGCTTTTGCTTTGTCTGATGTCTGTTGATTCATTAGATTCCAATAGAATCCTTTCTTTGATAACAAAGTATCATGATTCCCAACCTAAAATATAAATTTTATATTATTTGTTAATTCTGATGAGGTATGAATTTATTATAATATAATGGATAATGTATTTGATTTTTGTTTTTAAATTAAAAATGATTTCAATATGCTATCTGGAATATTTTTTAACATTTCATCTATTTATTATTATTGATATTTCAGTAGGTAACAAATTTGTTCATCATTATTTCCATATTATGTACCTAGTGATGAGTAGCCAATGGTAATTAACTGTTTTTACAATATGAAATTATATTTGTATTCTGGTTTTAAAATTAAAATTAAATAAATAAACATAATACAAATTATTTAACCATGACTTAAGGAACAGACCCAATTTTTATAAAATTAATTATTTATCAAACAAACAAATTTTCCAAAATCACATACTTCGACAATTTCTCCTTTATTTAAAACTACGATTACATCTGCATTCTTTACAGTGCTTAATCTATGGGCAATAACTAAAACTGTTTTTCCATTCGACACAGATTCTAATGCTGATTGTACGTGCATCTCTGATTCTGTATCAAGTGCACTAAAAACATACATAAAAGTAATAAAACACATTTTATATGAATTAGTACAGATTTAATATAATGTATTGTTATTTATTTAGATTCACACCTTGTTGCTTCATCTAATATAAGTATTGATGGGTTCTTTAAAATGGCTCTTGCAATAGCTATTCTTTGTTTTTGACCACCTGAAACCGTTACACCACGCTCTCCAACTATTGTGTTGTAACCCTTAGGAAAAGAAGTGATGAACGAATCAGCATTAGCTATTTTTGCAGCTTTGATTACCTACAATTTTCAAATCACAAAATTATATAAGTTTAAAGATACACTAGAAACTTTAGATTATAATTTATGTCTTTTTTGTACTTCAGCGTCTGTTGCTTCTGGCTTTCCATAACGTATATTCTCTAAGATAGACATGGCAAACAGTATTGGTTCTTGATTGATTAAACCAATTACTTGCTTGCGTAACCAAGTCTGATCGAGATTTTTTATGTCTTCACCGCCAATTATTATACTTCCAGAATTAACATCATAAAATCTATAAAAACATTTGGAATTAATTTGAACCTATTTAAAATAAAAATAAAAATTCAAATAAAATGTTAAAATAAGTACCTCATTAGAAGCGCAGCAATAGTAGATTTACCATTACCAGAAGACCCGACAACAGCGACAACTTTACCAGGAGGGAGAGTTAGATTGAAATTTTTTAATATAATCTGAAACAATTTGTTTTATTTTAAATAACACTATAAAATATCAATCTACATTATGTAAGTAGGTATTCAATTTCTAGTTATCTTTATTATATATATTCACTTGTTCTGGTCTGGTCGGATAAGAAAATGTAATATCTTTAAATTCAATTTGTGGAATAAAGGAATGATGTGGAATTATAACACCGCCGTTGATTAATGTTTTAGGTTCCTTATTGATATACTGAAAATATAAACAATTTTAATACCATTGGGTTGGTAATGAACACTAATTAGGATTTAAAAATAAAATTTCTGTTAAGTATTTGTTTAGTTACCACGAGTTGTTACATACTTTTAAAATTTTTTTTAAAAAAAAACTTGTGAATATAATAAATACCTAGTTATAAATTAAAATGTCTACTAGTTTACTTCAAATATTCTGGATCCGGCAGCAATGCCTTTGACATAATGACCGAATAACAATGAGAATTGTCCCAGAGAATGTTGAAGCATTTGGGTAACCATGAGAAAAGACATGAGCTGTCCGGGGTCGAGACTGCTGGTCGTCATTAGTTTCCCGCCGAGGAATATTGTTCCCAAAACAATACTGTTGAGAAACATATTGCTGCCAGCCTTAAAAAAATATATAATACATATTATTTTTCAATATGAGTAAAATATTAAAACAATATTTTATATGTATACTTGAAACAATCCTATACCGTAACCCAATCTCTTGTGTAATGTTCCATTGTTTTCTATTTCTGTCAAAAAACGATTGCATTCTTCAGATTCTGATGAAAACGCGCGGACAGTTCTCATGTTTCCAACTACTTCTTCCGCTATTATTGTAGCTTTTGTACCCTGAAGATGTGCATAATAAAAAATATATAGATGCCAGTTCTAAACTTACTAGTAATTCAAAACTGTCAGATGAATCAAAGTTAATCACTGTACAGTATAGGTACATCTGTGCATAATATATTGTATAGGCAATGTACATTTATTAGATAATAGGTATAGGTAATATAATTAATTATAATAGGATTGTGTGCAATTACTTGTTCTTGAGCCTGTTTGCTGAGTTTTCTCAAAACGGAACCAAAAAATGTGCCTATAACAATAATTGTTGGTAAAACAATAGCTACGGCCGCGGTCATTTCTGGTGATGTGTTATAGAGTGCATACACGCCACCAATCAACTAAATTGCAGTATAGTAATAAATTAAGATCCAGATAAAATCTTATTATACAGATTATAATAAGACTATAAAAAACAAAATATTTATACGCTGGCATAATCTATTTAGGTAGATATTTTAAACTTACTTGGGTAGTGTTCTTAAGCCCTTGTACAATGACAAGTTTGAAAGAACTTTTAAATTCTTGTACATCCGTCGTTAACCTATGAAAAATTCAAGTTTATAATACAATAACAATACTACATCTCCAGTTTCATTTGTTCATTTTAAATAGTGTCCTACCCTAAGTAAATTATAAGAAAATAATTAGATAGATAGGTATTTGTTTATCATAGGTTTTCATTACCTTTGCAGAATATCTCCAGTACGAGTTTTATCAAAAAATTCTAATTCTTGTTGCAGTATGGACAAAAACAAATTATACCTCATACGTATGGCAACATTTTCACCGACTTTCGACAACAAGCTTATGCAAACGAATGTAGATAATCCCTAAACAAATGAAAAATATGTTTTATTAAAATATAAATTGATAATTATTTACAAATAAAAAAAAAAAAAACGCTGATACTGCTAATGGGTGCACCACTGTTGTATGTGGAAAGTTGAATGGCTAGGACATAAATGAGTAGGGTATTTAGTTTTTTCTGTAAACAATAAACCATTGTTAACGAAAACCAATTATGAATGAAGTTCGTTTATGCATGGTTTGGTTTAGTAAGGTGGTAATATTTACAATTTTCTTCAAAATTGATTTTAAAATAATTATAAAAAAAAATTACTGCATTACAGTCTATTTTTTTAATTTATATAAACTTCCTGTTAAATTTACAAGCATTCCTATTAGGTCAAACAATGATATTCACATACTAGATACCAAATAAAAATGTACGTAAAAACTTACAAAATATAAAATATCTATAACTAGCTCTAAAAAGTTTTGAAAATTTGACCATATTGAGAAAAGGAAAATACAAATTTTCTAACAAAATTTCAAGTTTCTATGAATATTTTAAACTTAATTACAACAAAAAACAAAATTGAAAATAATAAAACCATTATTTTCGTAAACTTTCTCGTTCTTTTTAGGTTTTTTTTCGGTTTCGCTCAACTATTAAAAGAAACTACACGGAAAATAACTTTTAAATATACCTTTTTATTACATTAAAAAAGCACATATAAGGTCTTTTGTCTTTTTTTTGATTAAAGTAAGATTTTTGGTAAAAAACATAATTTCTAAAAATTTAAAATAACAAAATATTAATGTCATATATTTGTCCGGTTTTATTTTATTTCTCTTTTGGTTTTTTCAAATTATTTTGAAAAACCCTAAAAAAAAAAAAAAAAAAAAACTAATCTCTTCAAAATATCAATGAAAAAAAAATTTCCTTTCGGAAAATAATACTTAATACACTTAATACATCAAAGGAAGATTTCTGGTTGAAAAGTAATATATATATATGGGCGTATATAGGCATTTGATAATATTGATCAACAAATACAATTTATTTTAGAAGCGAATTATGTATTTATCCTTCTTTAATTTAAACTGAAGACTCAAATTAAATTTTTTTTTCAGAATTTTAAGAGAATATAAATCCAACCTCTAGTTATTATCTTTCAGAGCAAAATTTTGGTAAACAAATAAAAATGAAAAAAGCGAAACTTTTATTGCCGTAAAATGATTTATTTAAGGTATCTATACGGTATTTTCCAATTAATGTGAAAACTAATTGGAAAATCAAAAATCTAAATATGTGTCATATTATTTTTGATTGTAGCACGATTTATCGTAGAAAAGATGTTCAGAGAAAAAAAATTTCAAAATTTCAAAAAAGAAAAACAAGTACACATAGTAAAACCAGTAAACTTATCATTTCGCTCAGAATCTAAAAAAACTAAAGCCATTAGTAAAATAATATCTTTTAATAGTCTCATAATAATAATATTTAATCTTGATTAAATCTTAACCTGTGCCAGATAAAGTACCAACAGTTTAGATAACGGTTTAGTGAGCGATTCATAACTGAACGGTACGCCATCTCGAGCAAACTGAAGTATAGTGTTTATAACGTATTGCAGGTTGATTGGAATGTTTAAATTACATAGAGCGACAACAAATGCAGCCTGAAAAAAATTATATTTATAAAAACAATTGTTTGCGTTACTTAGCATAGATATAACATGAGTTTTTGAGAAATATAATATTATTGTGTACATTATATTATTGAATTATACATACAGCGATGGCAGCTAATAAGTTGATTAAATCTGGCGACAAATAAGACAACAACTTATTCCAATCAAAAAGGTGGTCCGACGTACTATGTTCGAGTTCTCTATGTTCGCAAAAGGCTACATTACTTCCGTTTAATAAATATCTACAACCAATATATCCTGTAGACCCAACCAGTATCCATAATGGACTTAACTTTTGTATTTTGACGGCTGATGGTACAGAAATTGGTTTTATCCATGGTGACTTTTTGATACAAAATGAATAATTTCTGGTTGGTTGTCTGAAATAAAAATATATAATATTTAAACTTATTATATTTAATAGTAGATGCCTACAATATAATAAGTACCTACTCAACCAAATCGTGTTATAGATAGGTAGGTAATCATTTTAGTGAACAGTCATCAAAAAGGTTTAGTATAAAATTGATTTTATTGATTAAAAAACAATAGCAATAGTAAAATTAATTAATAGATACCTACAAACAAAAAAGATAAAATACACATTGTAAAACCAATAGAAATATTAGTTAGTATTTATTAGTAGAAATACAAAAATGTATTAAAAATGTATTCAATTTCAAAAAAATTTGTAAAATTTATCAAATATCCAGTCTATAATTCTTTGAATGACTTTTATTTAGTAAAAACATAATAATTTTTATTATATTTCTAAACACCCAGGCACTTTAAAATTCTCACACCTGGTTCAAATTTATGTCTATCGAATCGCCACTGACAGTACCTGTAGTACCTGTAGGAATTCTATAATTTATTTTAATAATAATAATATTATTTATGTAATTCGGTATAGATAAATTAATTTTGCATAATTACCACGAAAAGTATCAGTAATTTACTCAGGTAATTAATCTAAAAACAAATCACTAGTAATTTTACATCTAGAAGTATATCTATGTAAGTACATTTTGATTAATTTATATTAGCTGTAGAAAAACTAAAATCAAATTTGTTTAATTTTTTGTTCTTAAAATTAATAAGTAGATAGTTACCAAATTTTAGATGCCAGATGTATTTTTACCTTTATTTTTTTTTTTTATCATTTAAACTGTAAAAACATAGATGTTATATTTTTATATCATTTAATATGGTTGAATACTGTCAACAGGTGAATGATAGGTATATTATAGTTATGTTTGTTGGTATATATTATGAACTGTCTACTGTTAATAATCTATTGATTTTATATAACCACATATGTATTAAACATACAGAACATTTTATTAATATCCATTAGATGGATCCATTAATAATTTTTTTAAGTTTTACAATTACCTATTTTAACTCATCAAATAAATCAATTTGTAATTTACTTACCTAACAATGAACGAACGTAGTGATGATGAATTTAATGATTTAGTAGTACAAAAAAAACGTAACATGACTGCACGACTGTAACAATAACAACCTAGGTATTATAACAATCGTGGATTCAAATGAAAATTAACCCAATAAAATACTTTAAAACGAGTAGATTATTTTGAAATTCTAGTTAAACAAAAATTTAGCAAGAACAAGTATTTTGCTATTATTTAATTATTTATTTTAAAAAAATCATTAATATCATTTTATCAATAATTTTTATCAAGAAACTGGGTAATCGTTAGATTGATAACATGCTATATTTGTATTATTAAGTTTTTTTTTTTCAAACATATAAACCGAAAGGTTCAAAATAAAAAACTACATAATGTTCTCGTTTCATCACTCCTAAAAAGAATTAGACAATGTCAAATTGAAACGAGAAACATTTGACTGTGCAAAGTGAAAGTACAAACTGAAAATTACAGAATACATACAAATTGATAAAATTATGAAAATTTAAGGTTAGTATTTCTAGTTTAATATTATGAGAATTTTTAATTTAAAATTTAAATACTATTTTAACTTAGGTATAATAATATAATATCAATATATTTGTAATTATTATAATTTTGTTGGTTATCACTAAGATTGATAACATCGGCTAGTAAACATTACCCCGTTTGACTGTTGACTTCAAGTATGGACAGGCTAGAAATTCGTTGGTACAATCCGGTGTATCGATATATTTTGTACCGGTTTACTAATATTTGATACCGATTATTTTACACCAGTATAGATTCGACAATGGAAATCGGTATATCTCCACCTTTGTCCAAAATTAACAATGATAATACTATCAATTAAATATTAATTAATTAATTAAATTATTAGTTTATTACCTACACCATACTTCCCATTTCCCGCTAATAAGTACTTAATAGAAATTAATTTGAACAGGTTATAATTGTTATCAATGAAATTATTATTATTAAAATTTATCTGTTCGTTTATTATTTCGAAGGGAAAATGAGAGGGGATGAAACCTATGTAAATAGTTTTCACTATATGCATGTGATGGCGCAGAAAAATTAAACCGGTGTCATTAATTTTAACACCGGTTACTCCAAAAAATTTCTCAAATTCACACTGGTTTGTACCAACGAATTTCTTTACCAAGTCAGGCATAATATAGTATATCTGTGTTAAAAACTAAAAAGTAATATCAATTATATATTATCAATTGCGGTTATCTATTAGATAACTGGCATGGTCGTCCAGTATCATCTTGCCGCCAAAACGATAATTTTCAGTTTCATGATAAATGTTTTTTTTTTATTTTCCAACAGAACTCACATAGTTACATACTATTTATTTATCGTACAAATTTTTTGTTCTCACAGTATTCGATTTTATTCCGGAGTTCAGGATGTCAACTGAAAACATCCAATATTCGACGAAATACGAAGATGACATTTATATTTACAGGTAATTGATTTCACAATTTAATGCCGATCATTGTGAGCCATCAATATTTTTTTTGCATATTATAGACATGTAATATTACCAGACGACATGTCCAAACTCATACCAAAAACTCATTTAATGACAGAAACAGAATGGCGTAATCTTGGAATACAAATGACATCTGGCTGGGTGCATTACATGCGATACGATCCGGGTAAGCATCATAACAATATGTGATTTTATTATTTTATATTGCATACTTGACAAATTAGTGATTGTAAGACAATTATTGTTCAGTACATTCGTTGTGTAAACAAGTAGCTATCAAATTTGTATTGATGGAAGGGCAACAATTTTTACGCCCTTGTAACATTTTCCATAATTTTTTTCCGATGAAAAGCTTGTGAGTGCTTCTCCCTCATCCCCCCTCCCTTAAGGTGACATCCCATGCTAAGAATCTTACTAATTTAAAATTTAACTTTGGTTGGTTAAAAATAAATTGTTTTTGTATCAAGTATACTTACCTACAATATAATAAAAAAAAATACCTACATCTTCACTAACATAATACATTTTTCATACTATGAAAAATAATTCTATTTAGCTGATTTAATTTTCAACTTTTAAGTTATTAAGAGAAATTATTTCATAAATTAAGAAATAAATGATTTCTATATTAAATATAAAAACAATGGGAAATTTATTTTTAAAAGTACAAATACAAGTAAAAAAATAATCAGCATTGTAAAACTAATAGCTCCCTCGTTACGTTCGAAATCTAAAATAACAATATTATAATTAGGTATTTAAATATTGAACAGTTCAATATAAAATGATTTTTCAGATAACATTTTCTATGAATATAAAAATGAAAATATAATCATAATAATAATAATTAGCCAATAGTAATCAAAATAAAATGGATTCATTTAAATGTATATAAGCCCTAGCATGTTTTTGACACTTGGTAAAAATAATAATGTTTTTAATTTGGGAAGGCTCTGGGCTGGGCTAGGTTAAATTTAAGGAAGCCAGGCCCCTCCTTTAGTTACATGTCTGTTGTGTATCACTTTTCATACACATTATCCTGGTGATGATTAAAATTACGGTTTTTTTTTTTTTTTATATCGTAGGCCTAAAAATATATAATTTGAGACTCAAATTTTACACACATGTAAAGTAAGATATAATAGACAATGCTTACAAAAATAAAAGACTTTAAACCTATATTTATCCATATTAAAACAAATTTATAAATTATTCCGCGATATGCTAATGAACACAATGATGCCTTCAGATGTAAATACGCAGAGAACATATTAATAATATTTTTCTTATCATAAAAATACAATGTACTTTTAATAATATCATTTGGTATGTCTAGACAAAATTTTTCTAAATTTACCAAAAATTATTGCCGTAATAATCAATGTAATTTGACATAACATTCAATGTTAAATGATTAACTTGGGATAGCTCGCACCGTTAGACAATATCTAACATATAACTTATTTTAAGAATAAGTATTATTGATTGAACAATAATTATTCACCAATACTTTATCTACATGATTATGAAACTTATAATACTATTATTATTGATACGATTAAATTATATAAAACTTATTTTGGAATTTATATTTTGATGAAATTATGTACAATAATATATTGTTAGAAAAAATGTAACATGCTAGCAATCATGTAAAATAAATTATGCAAGTGATACTGAGTTAAACTCTGTTTGGCAATAATAATAATATTAGTAGTGTAATAAAAAATAATTACTTTTAGTACAATACTTTATAATTTTGTTTCAGAACCTCACATAATACCATTCAGGAAATCTAAACCAGAATTCAAAGTTTAACTTCACAAAGTTTATACTTTTAGTAGTTAATGACTGTTTAATTTTGCAATATTTTTACGTTTCTAAATATTTACAATTATACATTTTAATGTATAGAAATAATTTGGATTATTATATGTTTAGTACTGTTTACTATATTATGTAATTTTATTGTATGGCTCAATTTATTAAACTTTATGTTAATAAATCAATAAACTGAGCATATTTTATTTCTAATGTACCGCCTAATTATTATATAGGTAATATTAAAAAAAATGATTTTTCTGAGTAAAATTTAGTATACCTATATTCTATTATAGGTTTAGCATAGGTTTGGTCAATATTACTAGGGTAACATTTGATAAGTACTCAAAGTACCTATTCAAATTCATCTTCATAGAACCAATTGAGTCTCCTCGTTTTTTTTATTATTGTTTTGTGTATGTATTGCACTAGATAAGTTAATTTAGTACAATTAATACGATTAGTTATATCATATTATTTAGTTGATAAAATTTAATACAAGTAAACACATTACTATTGTAGTCTCATAAATAATGTATAGAATAAAATTAGAAAAAGATTAATAAAACAAATATATTTACAAATATTTTATAAAGTATGTAAAAAGTTGGTACTGAGTCTTACCAGGTTCCAAAAGTTCTTCTTTTGGTATGGTACTGATATAGGTCTATTTTTAATGTGAAAAAAATAAACAAACAATTTAATTATAATATAGCATACATTTATTTTGTAATATTTTACTAATCGAATCTGATATTACCAAAAACAATTAAAAAACTATTACAATTTTTATATAGCTTGTTCAAGTACATTTTCTTCTTTGATTCGTTTCATTTACTGGAAAAACGTAAATGCTTTTTGAAGAAATCAATGGCAAGTTGAGGATCATTTAAATAAATTTCTTCACGACGTACACAATCGATTTGTGTTAAATTTTTCCATTTTACATAAAATACAAGGCCTATGTCTTCCATTGTATTGGCACCAACGATTTTCTCGGGTCTCAATCCTCGAGGGTATCTGGTCAGCTCAACCGGTTGGCTGATAGCCGCTGACATTGTCGATCTCTGTTCACTACTTACCAGAGGCTGGTTAATTATATTTTGGATGTTGGACCTGCTTTGTGGACGGTTACGATTGTTGGTCGACATTGGGTTGTTTGATTGGACGTTGCGTTGTTGCTGGACAAGTTGGTTAATCTCCATTTGATTGATGAATTCGATTTGGACCGTTGGTCCGTTTCATTTACAGTTTCCTGTAATTCTTTAAGCGAAGACGTTATATTAACTGAACTCAGTATTAAATCTTATCTAGATGAGATGAATCACTCGTTGTCGAAAAAACAAATAATTTTCGGAGCGTATGTGTGCTAAAATGAGATGATTAACAGTGAGCTAGCCACTTGGTTAATCACTACGCACGTAGCCACGTTAGAATGAACAATTGTATCGAGACTAACCTAGACGACTGGACTACAACTCTTCCAAACTCCTTAATACCTGCCCATTTCAAAATCAGTAAAATATATTTGTTACCAGTGGACTACCAACATAGAAACAATAAAGTGAATACAATACCTTAGTTTTTAATATCTTGCAATGATGTACCCTGAATATATTGAATAGATATAAAGATAGATATGATAATATGAAGGACCATAAAATAAAAAAGAGCTTATACTAGGGACAGTTGCAGCCACTGTTGCAGGTGAGAATTTGGGAAGGTAAGATTGGTATACAAAATTATTTAATTTATATCTGTACTCAACTATAAACTAGTGCTAACGAAAAACGATTTGGGGAAAAATTCACGTTGTAATGGTAACACTGCATATTTTGTAATCAAGATAACTTTCAAAATTGATTATGATTAAAGACCGGATTTAATTGATATTGCAACTTTTTTTGCCATAAAGATAAATCAGATCTAATTAAATATATAGCCGATATACTTAAGTATACTAAAAATATTTTGCCTATTTAATTTTATAATGCAATTTTTTGCAATTTTCTCACGTTTTTAAATCATAGGCCTATATCGTTCGTCTAGATTTTCTAGAAGTTTTGAAAGCCTAGCGAGCGATAAGCGTCTATATATATCAGGGGTGACCAAACTGCGGCTCGCGTCATAGACTTATGCGGCTCGTATCTTATCGTAAGATACAAAACATTTTTACAGAGTTTTTTTTTATGATGAATTTACCATATGTATTTGAAAAACTACAAAAATTTTAAAAATTACAATTTTTAGTAAAAATTTACAAAAAAATAAAGTGTTCTTAATTATTAATTATTATTTTATTTGTTGTGTGTTCATTTTGTTTGTAAGTTGTTTGAAATCCGTATTATGTGTTGTTAAAGCAGCCCTTAACAATTCTGTTAAATGTTCATCCGTTAATGTTGAGCGATGTTTTGATTTAATAATTTTCATGGTCGAGTAGAAAGACTCGCAAGAATATGTTGTTCCAAAAATCGATATTAATTTTTGAGCGCAAAGAGTAATTTTTGAACATTTAATAACGGGCACACGTTTCCGAAATTCCAACAAACAATGGCAACTGTAGTTAACTGTTTCAGTCCTTCATCTTCCAATAATTTTAAGAGTTCAATTTCTTAAGTTGCTGAAACCATTAAAATCGGTTTTGATATTGGACATCCATTTTCAATAACATTAATTATAAAGGGATTTTCTAAAAATGCAATCAAAGGTTTAAGTAATTTCAAGTCTTTAAATCGATCTTTAGATTCAGTTGATAAACATTCTAATTTATGTACATAATCTTCACAATGAAATCTCGTTGCTATTCCAACCAAACAATCCTCAATTATTTTTAAGTACGGAAAATGGTTTAAATTATTTATTCTTAAGTTTCTTTGAAAAAGTTTGAGCTTATTTTGGAAACCAAAAATGTCTTGTACTAGGTTATTAATGAATTTATTTTTACCTTGAAGAGACATGTTCAATGTGGCTAAGAGATGCACAACATCAGTACAAAATGACATATCTCTAAACCATTGTGTGTCCGAAAGTTGTGGAAAGTTTTTTTTTCATTTTGGTTCTTCCATATTTATTAATATATTGGGCGACTCGCAAGTCTCTTCTCGTTGGCTACCCCAGACATATATATATATATATGGTGATAAGGTTATAAAACTTTAAATTTTTACTATGAAGTCATGTCAGGTGAAGCAAATGTTAATTTAGATATAATGCCTATAATAAAAAGTTTTACATATGCACCAATAACTAGTGTAGACGTAGAACTTAGTTTTTCTTTGTACAAACATATTTTAAGTAATAGGAAATTTAATTTTAATGAAAACAATTTAGAAATGTATCTAATTCTAACCTAAAACCGGAAGGAAAACTGGAGGTTAGACTTTGTATTATAATACAATTTATAGTAAAATTCTTTTATAACATGCTTTATATTATATTACATTAAACAACAATTTCTTTTTTTTGTACCTACTAAAATGTTCTATTTAATATTAATTTACAAATATAAAATTCCCGTTAGGTTAGGTTAGGTTAGGTTAGGTCAGCTGTGACGTAAATGTTTTAGAAATTGTCTATTTTAAGAATGGGTAAACATATATTTCACACCCCCCCTACCGTAAGAGAGGTCTAGGTACGCCACTGTTTTCTATGTAATATGAATTATTATTTCGTAAGTATTAGATTTGAAGTGTAGAGAGGGATCTATTGGTTTTCTACGATGAGTGTGTAATACAAATAAAGGTATTTTCTTATAATTTTGAATACGCGTTCATCGTACACATATGAATATTAATAATAATATAATAATTTATTCCCCCAAAAATTCAAAAACCCAAATTCATAAATAATTCCTGATCCCACCACTAAATCATGATCACCAGTTTTAGTGGTACTTTAAACTGTTCAGTGTTCAGTCTAGCAATAATACTTTTACTCTTTTCGGTATCATTGAAAACTAATTTGATTTTATCTAAAATTTTGTAAATAGGTAATAAGAAGTAATAAATAATAATTACAATTACACTACAAATGACAATGCCTTTGTATAAAATGTACAAATTATATTTCATAATCATGATAATATACGACGATAAAAATTTGTTATCAATCTAGTAATACAATATTTGACAAAACTGTCAAATATTTTAGAAATGTTTCTAAAATATTTGATCGTGTGAACCGGGCTTAACGGTAGTACTGAAATTTGTATACGTCAATTTGTTGAGGCGATATAAAGCTTGACAGAGATAACTGCGTGACTTCACAAGGTCACACGATACGACGCTTATACTTGTATACAGGAATCGATTATGCGGTCTAAGGTATTTATTTATAATTTTGTTATATTCAAAAAAAAAAATTAAAAACGAAGACAATAATTATTATCAAATTAAAACAAGCCGCTAAAAACGATAAATTTGCAGTACGGAACTCTAAAAAGTCGTTGGAACTATAGCGTCTACACGGTAGACTAATTGTACCTATAGGTTATCATAGTCAATATAATCAATCATTAGATTACATACAGAATATAATTCTCTAAAGTGGATTATTACGAATATACTATTTTTGTGTATGTATGTATGTATGTATGTATGTATGTATGTATGTATACATCACGTGTGTGTGTGTGTGTGTGAATGTGTTAGTAACTGATGTATATTTTGCTTCTGACGCTGTTGAAAAGTGATGTTTTTGAAACTAGAGACTGTTGTTTTTTCATTATGACTGGGCTATGTAGCTGGAATGATGTACTTCTTGACTGGCGGTAGTTGGTGAACTGATATTTTACTGTTGAAAATGTATCCTTATAATAATATACACTGCTACTCTAACCCACCGCAAAAAGTGAATGTTATAATATCTACCAAGAAAGTATTATAATTATCGTAAACGAGTTTATAAATTTGGTGCTGTGTACCGAATGTTGTTTTTAAAGTAAAATTCTAATTACGTGTTTCAATTTTTAATTTTTTTAATGTATATTTTTTATGGTTTATGGTGTTATTCCATTAAATAACTTTTCTTTATTTAAAATATTCACAAATTGCATTAAAACCTGACTATCGTACCAAAATAGTTTTGTTATACTAGTAACTAACGGGCGCTGGGTAGTTTTCCCGAAGATAACAAAATCTAAACCATGTACAACTTAGAAAACTAAATTATCTGCAAATTATTCAATTGTGATAACACAAACATAGAATGATTTCATATATTTTCAAATTCAAATATTTATGTTATCATTATTATTCGTTATTACTTTTGATTACTATGATTACAAAAATAGTAGTTAATAAATTTATTTATTTTAATGTATTTTATCCTTAGACTATATAATACTGCGAAAAGAGCTACTGCATTATAAACGTGTACTACGTTTCGAAGAAATCGTTAATTTTATATTCCGGATTTTTATAGCCCTCTTTCTTAATTTTATTCTATTAATCTTTGCTCAATTCATGTGTAGTATCAATTTGATTTTAAGTTTAATTTAGAGTTTAAAGAAAATTTTTGAAAATAAATTTTACGTAGCCCTTATAAGCACAAATTCAATATCGAAAATTCAATTAAAAACAATGACAAAATATCTTACAAAAATAACCCACAACGTTATTTATCCGCCGTGTTAGGATGCCCGCTATAGGTAATGCGTAAATTATTTTATTCGTTTTAAAAAAAAAAAAAAAAAACCTAGAAGAAGAAATTAATCCGTAAGCGTGTCTTAAATTTTATTACAGACGGGCCCACACACGTAGAGTCCATTAACGTGCAATGTCCATGGGGGCCTTTCAATAGTTTCGAGTGGCTGGCATTAAGCATTATATTGTACAATAGCTGAATGCAAAGACATACATATGGTACGACGGCGGTCAAAACGCAGTGTTTAAAAACACGTTATTGAAAATAATTTCTACCGGCTGGTCTATGTATTGAATAATATCTGCTCGTATTCGGCTACATGTAAACTCCTACGAAAATGACTTTTACCCGAATTTAAAACATAGTGTACACTACACCTACATAGTTCCTTTTTACTTGCCTAAAATAGTAGAAAAGTCGTTTACAGAAAAAAAAAAAAATAAATAAACATCTTTGTAAAACCGATATATTCCTCGTTCCGCTCAGAGTCCAATAATAAAACCATTATTTTTGATGCACGGTTTCCGATAAGGTTAGCTGTGTACACAGTATGTATATATATAAAAAAAAAAAAAAAAAAAAAAAAAAAACACAAAAATATTCGTTCGGAACCGATTGACCGTGACGCGTGAATAAAGGTCCCCGACAGCCCCGTACAACGCGTACCCGTATACTCGGACCGCCGGGATATAATTATAATGGCGGCGGCCACGCGTACACAAAAAGGTTAGGTAATCAGGTTTGCTGGTTAGGCCGAATTTCACTGCCCCCGTATCCCGTCCACCGATCGTCGTCGTTCGAAAAATCGAATAACAATATTATATAATGTACAGTAACTGTCCCCGCGTCCCTGGTTTCATCGTATCTCGCGTTGTTCACCGTCACAGTAATAACGTTGCTGTTGGTCCGCCGACATTGTTCGATGCTATTATTGTTCGCCTCCCCGTCGAGACGATCGCCGCGGACGATAATATCGTAATGCCGCGCCCGTCGGGTTTTCAAGGCGGGCCAGGCGAGTCGGGCGCGCCGCACACCCGACCCGACCCGGCGGCGCGCAGCGTTAAATTATAATTTCCTGCGTGGGAAATCGGTTGCAGGCCGTCGAGACGTTTGAACGGCCGACGCCGCCGCCAAGACACCCCCGACTGGCGGGTTCCTATTCGGCTCGTACGAGAACACAATCCGCGGTCATTATACCCACGCGGGGAAAAATAAATACCTCGTAGCACACACGTGCACGCCCGTCGGCAGTTGGACTCCGGTGGGCCGGACGACCCTTGTCGTCCCGACGACGGCGCGGTGTGCAGCTGCTCGGGTCGGCGGGGCTAATGGGTACCGAATGTTTGTTCGACCCCGACCGCATTCCTCTGTAACCGGTATTTTATTGTGCACGAAAACACAAAAAACTATAATAACAATAAGCCCGACAGACGGACGCCCGATGTGTGCGTTAACGGGCATCGTATATTCTATCCCCGTCAGTGATAATAAATTATGCCAGACAACTCGAGTCGGAAACGTATCTGCTGTCTCTCTCTGCGCTGCATATTGTGCCGCGTCTAGAAAAAAAAAAAAAAAAAAAAAAAAAAAAAAACGAAAAAAAAAATCGAAATAAACGTGACCCACGAAGACGTGTAAAGCCGCGGTTACACGAAGCGTAAGAAAGAGTATGATCACTGAGCAGCACACTCAGTGTGAATTTATTCGGTCCACGATCATCTCGGTCTTGTGGTCGTGTTCTAAGGATTTTACAGCGGAAACCGTTTGTAATGATGATATCCCGGAATCATATTCTCTTACGTAAAAAAAAAAAAAATGACGAAGGGTTTTAAAAGACCTCCTTTCCTTTTTAATTACTCTTAACTTATCAAACTCAATTTTCTAACAGTGCAAAATAATTAACACAATAGTTTTTGTAATACGCAATTGTATGTCCATTCTTTAATAATACAAAATTTAATTATCCGTGTTAATAACATTATAACATAATTAATTTAAAATTAAAATAAGAAAATAATTAAAAGAAATTATTTTCAAAAATTGCCGTACAAAAAAGCAAATCAATTAACATGATTAAAATGTTAATTGACTTGCTTGAAATGACAGTATTAAAATGTTTAAAACATGATAACAAAAAATTTACACGGAAAAAATGCATTTTTAGACATAAAAATAATTGCATAGCTTATTATACTCGAAAACGAAAAACGAAATTTTCCTACACGTTTTTACTCCCTGATTTGAGGTGTTTAGATAGTGCAAACAGCTAACATTTTTACAATTTTATAGATATCATCATGCAAATTGTTAGTAAATAGGTATATACTTAAAATATATATAAATTGCATTGTATAGAAATCTACAATGTATAATAAAAATAATAAAATAATACCAATATAGATAATAGAATAGTCAATAAAATTGGAAAATTTAACAAATCTTTGACAACTTCAGATATTTAATGCATTATTATTTATTGTCTTCAAAATTCTACTATGGTAGGTAATAAGTGTCGAACGATAACTTGATACAATTAAAAAGTATTTTTTCCTAGGCATTAAATTATAACCTATCAAAGTCTATATAGATGAGTGTCTTACGAAGATAATGGATATATGGATATACCCATTGAAATAACTTCTAAAATAATAAAGATAATTTATTTATGGATTTTTTTTTTTTTTTAAATTACTCATAGAAATATGGACTTCAAATATTTATGTTTGAATTCAATTTGTATGTTTTCGTAAATAAACTTAAAAAGATAAATTTTTTGTCATCACTTTTAAAAAATGTGTAGATAACCATTAAATGAGTTTATTCTTTTGAAAATTTTGACGTATCAAATTTTTGTTAAATTCGTGTTTTTTGATAATTTTTTCAAGTCCAGTGAGAAGTACTTATTATTAAGCACAAGGTTTTAATCGCATTTTCTAATTGATTATAATAATAATTATTATTATTATTATACTTCTTTGATGATGGGCTAATTCATAGGATATCTGTAAATTGACGTTCGAAGGGTAGGATTGTTACAAATACAAGGTTTAAAGTGTTGTTGGCCTCAGGACAAATTGAACGAATTTATGATAATCCTGTCCAACTATTCGGTTGTTATTTCTTTTTTATCGATTACCGTTCCCATCACTAATGTAAACGTGGCGTACTATAATATTGTACCGAACGAATACGTATAATAGTGGGTACCGTGTATAAAATATAATATTACGCGTTTTCGTCAGCGGAATAACGTAACCAAGGTTACTAGCGCAGCGATTTATTGATTTTCTCTGGAAAGAGTCTGTTTTAGAGGTCCCTCATATTCTACGCACAACCAACTTTCATTTTCTATCCCAAGTCACACTGCTTCTTACGGCCATAATCTCTCTCCCTTTATCGCATGTTCAGAGTCGTATTCCCCGAGTAATATCTGTATTTGTATTTACTTTTTCTCCCTGTTATTGTATTCATGCGTCTATTTTAAGATTTAAATGTAATAATTTCTTGCTTAATTGTTAACTGTCGATTAACGTTGATTTTTCCAAACAAATAAATAAATAATTATTTTAAACGGGCCGATATAACGAAATCGAAAATACGATAACTGATAAAATTATCTTCGTAGGGACCGCGAGGCTGCCAACGAAAATATTTTAGATTCTTAACAAAGCGAGGAATATATTGGTTTGACTATGATGTTTATTTATTTTTTTTATACTGTGTACAAAAATTTTACCAGTAATCTTGCTCCAATTTACAATGATAGCACTTTAGGAAATCTGACTGGGGAAGTACTTTAGGCGTAGGGTCATTTTTTGATTTTCTCAGGAGTTTTTGCAATAAATTGGAAAAACCTAAAAAAAAACATGCATAATATGTAATTATTTTACCATAATATGACATAAAATATATTTTTGACAAAGCAACACTATCAATTAAACTATGCTCAGAATCGTTTTTTCATTGGCAATGGTTAATATTGTTGTTTACAGATATACATTCGATTTCCCCTCTACTACCTTCCCAACTTATTTCCTACAACAGTGGCTGCGCGTGACAGCTTTTTATTTATAATTAGAAAGAGAAAAGATCATTGTATAGTGACGTCACGCGGCTACAGAGGTCGACCGGAAATTTATTACTGCGGAGTTAAAGCGTATGTATTATATTTTTTTTCCCCGAGAAATTTACATATTTTAGTCGGAGAATAACTATTTATACGCCTACGGTGGTAATATTTTTCAGTTTTTAATAGGACCGGTCGTCCACCACGTAGAACTCCTTAGATAATCTCTAGTTTAGTATTTTTTATTTTTCTTTCGTTATCCTCCATTAACATATTAATATTTTATGAGCGTGCGTACGTACGACCGAAACACCGAAAACCACTTTTCCCCGTCCGTCGGTGTTTCGTAGGCACGCCTTATGTATAAAAAAAAAAAAAAAAAAAACACGGTATTAAATTATATCGTGGTCGACTCGAATAATATTGAAAAGAGAAAAAATAAACTCGTTTAAATAGATAATATTTATAATGACTAATATTATACCAGCTAGAGAGTAAGGATATTGCCAGCTCCCGAGAACGTGAACACGTAATTACACCGTTACCAAAGTATCTACGTCATTGCGTATATAAAACAGTATCGGGTGATAGATAAGAATATTATAATTATTTTTATTATAATAATATTATAATTAGGGTTCGGGACTTCTTGCATTTGCATGATTATTTTATTAAAAATTGTTTGTAGATTATTCTAGGTAAGCTACAAATTTGATTTACGAAATTCCGAAATTAAGTACAAAGTTTTAATTTGCATATTTTATCATATTTTAGGAAAGGTGCATATTTGAGCAATTTTTACTAAATTAAATTATGCACACATTCTGTGCATATTTCGCATTTTAGATTTTGAGTGGAGCGAAGAAGTTTTAAGTTATTTTTATGGTTTTACAAAGATGTTTACTTATTATTTTTTAATTATCAACCTTCTACCAAAAATCTTGATCTATATAATGATAGACATTTTCTAAAAGGAATTCCGACTGGGGAAGTACTTTAGAGAGGTAATTTTTCGATTTTCTCAAGAGTTTTCCAAGAAAATGTGATAAATCGGGAAACATGGGAAAACCGGGAATATCGTAGAAAAACTGGGAAAACTCGTACAACTTTATACAAATTTTATTAAAGAAAATATATAAAGCCTATTTAACTTTTTTACTATAATATGACACATGTATTACTGACAAAGCATCACTATCAACTGAATTCTGCTCAGAATCGTTTTTCGTAGGCAATGGTTTATCGTTGCTTACACGTATACATTAAAATTACCTATAACAGTGGTTGCACTCTAGGACGTCTTTTTCGGTTTTTTATTTTTATGTTATTAAAATTCTTGGGAAAATCGTTTCTTTTAATAAATTAATTTGAGTAGGTAGACTATAGGGACGGGTCTCTTTATCTTTATCAATCTTTACCAACCTTGTTATGTACCTATCTATTTTCAAGATTTCCATTTCTAAAATCTAATATTATGTTTTATCCGTGTTTTACAAAATAAAATAAATAATTATCTGCATATTTTGACGATTTCCATTGCATATTCCGATCATTTTTATTACAACAAGGCCAGCGCCCTAATTAAAATATTTAATATTCGATAGGTTGTCGATTCCGGGTGAGAGATCGTGGCCCGCGTGAAAGGGCACAAGCGTTTCGGACAGTGGCGGTTCGTAGGTCGACGAGAAAACGTTAAATATTATTGACCGACGCGCATTTTCGTCGGTAATTTCAGTACGGCGGCCGGAGCAAAATCCCGATTTAATTAAAATTTCGATTATCTTATCGCCGCTTACCAGGAATTTAATTTTCACTGTTATATTTTATAATCAACGACTACAGTAAAAAGCTTATTAATTATTACTATTATAGTCGTTTCGTATGCGTAAAAAAATGTATTTTATCTCAAGTATTTCGTTTTTATTAGTAGTTTTTTCAGTAGTTATTTATTATTTATTTTAATTTTACAATAAAAGCACAAGTGTGATACAATGGTTTTTTTTTTTTTTTTTTTGGTTAAAATTTTATGCTTTTTCGCTTTATACTACGGTATAAAATTTAAATTGTTTGTAAAAAATGTATAAGTACTGAAAAATACATTTATATTCTTAAAGATCTAAAGTGTGCATTTAAAATACACAAACAAAACATACACAAAATAAAAATCATACAATTTGATTCGGTAGACCTGTATCCAGGTCGTCATTGCTCAATATTACTCATTGTCAACACATGTAATTTCATAAATATCCGAACCCTAGTAATAATAATATTTCCGTGTTGAATTTTACTCGATGTGCCGTGTAACTGTTATTATTTCGAATTACGTAATTTAACACTTATTTAACCAGTGGAATCATTTGTGAGGATACAAGGGTATGCTAATATATCCCACGAATTTCTTTTAACGCATTTAAAATAATGTGTAGATGCAAATAATTTCATAAAATATTCATAAAAATACAATCGTTTTGTAATAAATATTACAAAAATGTTTTTTGTGATTCTATCATAATAATTACATGGATAGATATGAAACTGAAGTTAATCGTCTTTATAGATTAGCGCCGATTTCGTTATTGTACATTTTTTTAAAAATCAAATTTAATTTGATCAGTATCAGAGGACATAGACACAGTATAAATGCCATAAATAATATAAAAGAATATGTATAGCCGTACAGGTAATATAATTTTACGGAACGGTGAAGATTTTATTTTTATTAAAAAATGTATACAGTTCTATACATATACAGTGTCGAGTGCGGTTTGTGCAATTTATATGAACAGTATTATAGCGAGTAACTCACCTTTCTGTTCATATCCAATTCATTTATGTTTATTTAAAATACCAATGGTACTTTAAATACTAAAATGAAATAGGTTTCTGAATATTAAAAGTACTATGAAATAATATCAATAATCAATGTTATAATTTTACATGTAAATGAATGTTTTGTCCTTTAGATGGTACGCGATCAAAGCGATCCGCTTTTACTATAGAATTTTCAATATTTGTTTGGTATCCCGTGAAAAAATCCGTGAAATGACGCCTCTGCACTAAACGTAATCTTCTATACATATAAAATCCAAATACCACTGACTGACTGATCGCTGTATCTCAAAAACTACGTAACGTACGGGCTTGAAATTTGGACTACAGGTTCTTCTCGTATTTTCACCGCGCAATGAGGAGGGATTTTCAAAAATGTCGCGTTTTAGTGGAGTAATTAACAGTTTATTAATTATTCACCGCCAATACGCATTGCGCGGCACGGCGGCCCGCGGGTCTCCAGCTACCTGCAACCTATCCTTTTTGTTCGTCGTCGTCGTGTAGATAAGAATAACGATTCCGAGAATAAAATTGTTCCGAGAAGTTTATCGATAAAAATAAACGTATAGATATTAGGCTATTACGTATATTATCGATAATCATGAATTTAAGACGGTAAACGGTGATGCGTGGCGTTATCTAATTTGTCACGAATTTGTTTCCGGGCAACGCCGGGTAATTCAGCTAGTATTATTATAAATGGAACAGTGTATATTATAACAACGAACCATAATAAATTGGCCTTGAAATGATATTGTAACCTATCAAGATGCCGTTTTAAAACTCCGGAATCGGGGACACGGGTCCATTAATATTTAATATTCCATTGCTGTACGGGTAAAACATATTTTGTTTCGTACAATAGAGACGATTATCGGTCCGTTATCGACGAATAATCGGTTCGTTCCGAAAACAATTTATAATTAAACCGAATTGAATTGGAATATCAAACGAGGTTTGTTCGAATGAGGTTTTCATCGACGAAATAACAATATCTAGTTCTTTGAAATGTATAGATTATGCGCGCGTTTATTTGTTTAGAACCAACATTGTACGCGATTAGTAGCGATGGGTATAATTATCGAATGATTTTGACAATGGAAATATTGAATTATAGTTGCAGACATATTTATTAAATCACTCGAATAAACTACGCGATAAAAATGCACATATTAAAATGTATAAGACCACATGATATTGCCGTTTGATAAATAAAAAAATAATCGTTTAATGTTCACTGGGTACTTATAAATAACATACATATAAAATAAAATAAAGTACATCAATGCGCAACTGATGAACGACGCGTTTTTTGCAAGTTTATTTTTTTATAAAATATACTTTTACACTGTTGACTTTTTATTAGGTGCCATATTACAAAAATGAAATTTAAAAAGTTAAAATAGGAACTTGTAAGTACTTAATTAGTCCGTAATTTGAGTACCCGTATGATTGCATGTACAACTAATATAATAACAAGCAAGTACTTAATAATAGACATAGTCAATATTAACTTTACTCGATGGGTATCTAACATTTACAACGATCGAATGAAATACAAATAATCTATTAATTATCTAAAAATATTATAAACATTAAATGTTAACAGACCGTGCTGCGGATACGTCATTTCTCGTTTGGGTTTGTATAGTGTTTTTGACTTTCATTTGTTGTTGTACTTATATAAATTCAAGTCCACGGATACTAATTCAGAAACAGGAATATCTATTATCATATACTAGTCATTGGTTAATATAATGTTAAAAAATATTGTATTTTACATTTCAACTCGGAAACAATATTTTAATTTTTTTTTTTTTTTGCAAATGATACGTCGAAAAGAAATTTTACGATAAAATATTATTATAGTATGATAATAACAATATTATTATTATAATTAGCTTATTCATTGTATAACTAGTTCAATCAAACCGTAATCCATTCAAATGTATTATTTGGCCATTTCACTGTTTTTATTTCGACTACAAATCATTATTGGATTATTTGATTATTTTTCCTGTCGATTATTCCTATCACTATAGTATAATTAAAAATTTAGAGAAACGTTTATAAATATTTTTAAATTTGGGTATTTCGACCGTTATTTGATATTTTGTCCGTGGATATTTTGACCTAGATTCGTTTTATACAACGAGTAAAACGAACTGCAAGAACAAAATAAAACGTCCGCTACAAATTCACCACCCAAATCGAGGTGGCTCCCGACGGCCGGGGTTCAGTATTGATTTTATTATTTCGGCGGGCTGCCACCTGGAAAACGCGTTTGCCCAGGCCAATATACAGAGTGATACGTTTGTCGTCAAACGCTCATTTTTCGCAAAGTATTATTTTGAAAATTAAAAAAAAAAGACTTCGCACGTGAGAGCCAAAATTGTAGACAGGAAGTTGGGAAGTAAGGATACACATGATAATTTTATGTATATCTGTAAGCAACGATAAACTATTTCTAACGAAAAAACGATTCTGATTGGAGTTCAGTTGACATTGATGCTTTGTCTGCAATATATATGTCATTAAATTATAGTAAAATAATTAATTAGGCATTATATATTTTCTTAAATAATATTCATTTAATATTGTAACGATTTTCCCGTTTTTCCTAAGTTTTCCCCTATTTTTCCATGTTTTTTCCTGTTTTTCTCATTTGCTGAGAAAACTCTTGGGAAAATCGAATAAGTACCTTAGTCAGATTTCCTTTTAGAAAAAGTGCTGTAATTGTAAATCGGAGCAAAATCGCTGGTAGAAAAGTTGTCCACAGAAAAAAAAATCGTAATATTTAACTAATATATTTCGTACGTTTTCCCGTTTTTCCTCTCCTCCGTTTATTTTAGGTTTTTCACATTTGATGAGAAAACTCCAAAGGAAATCGAAAAATAACCTTCATAAAGTACCACTCCAAAAAAAAATTCCTTTCAGAAAAGAGCCTACATTGTATACATTGGAGTAAGCTTTCTGGTAGAAATTGTTCACATAAAATAAAATAAAATAATAAACATCTCTGTAAGACCAGTACATTCTTCGCTACACTTAGAATCTAAAACGCCTTAAAATTTACATTACTATTATTTTTTGTAATTTTTATTTACTCTTATGTCTGAAGATAAACGACTACCGAATTTTGATTTTCCAATGGTAACGTACATTAAAAGTCCTATAAATATAATTTTTTTTTTTTTTTAAAGTCAATATTTTGCACAATGACGAGCGTTCGACGATAAAAGAATCGCCCTGTATAATACTATCGTTCGTGACCCCGTACGGGACGAAACGACGCAAAATACTGGCGGAGGGTTTGCTCGCGAAAAACGCCGAATAATACCACCCCCAGGGGTTTCGTTTCAACCTTACCCCTCGACTATTATGGACCCGGGCAAAGCTACTGCGCGGGACCGACGCACCGAACACCGTGCAGAATCGATCGAACCGGGGATACACTGTTTGTTTCCCTCCCCCTGTTATATTCTATTGATCGTGCGCCGCGTCGTGTCAATCAGCCCCGCGAAATAGAACCGCCTACCGACAACAGCGAGTGTATTTCAAAGAAGTATCCGTGTGATGTTCGTTGTGAAATTGTGCCTGACTGCGCGACGCAAGAAAAACTTGAAATATTAAGATACCATGTGATCATTATGCTGGGTTTACACGTGCATGTTTTTAGTGGCACAAGTAGTCGAAAAAAAATCAAAAAAAAAAAAAAATCCAATCTTACGCCGATAAGCACAATATTAATATGGTTTATTGGCGTATATAATATAGAAATGCACGTGTAAACGGGGGTGGGTTGAGGGTGTCATATCCCCCCCATGAACTTTTTTTTTATGTACTTGTTTGATGTTCCTTGGTAGTTTAAGTTTTCTCGGAAAAAAAAAAAGTAGTGCATTGTCGGTTTTAATTTTTAGTCATTAGGACCCGGACTTTAAGCACTCAAAATCCACATAAAGACGATAGAAAACATCAAAAAAGGCTTGAAAATGCACTTGAAAATGGCAGTACGTTTTTAAAAGTTCCCTCCCCCCTTATATATCTCTAACTTATAAAATACAATTTTCCAACACTACACAAACTATCAACACAAGTTTTAAATACAATTGTAAGTATTATTATAATAAGTATAATTAGTTTGTTTTCAGAGATCTTTTGTTGATTTTAAGCTGTTTTTTGTGGATTTTATGTGCATTAAGTCTCGGGCCCTAATTATTATCATACATATAAAATATGTTTAATAAATACTATAGTAATAAAAATTATCTATAGATATTGCATAAATAATATTAAAAAAAAAAATGTACCAATGGACTATTATAATATTTCCGTTCATTATATTCCAATGCCTATGTTATAAACGCGACTATCGGCATATTAATATATTATCAATAGTATTTATGGTTATGTGGTTTTTAGATATGCTATAATAAAACTTTTATGTTAGTACACATACCTAATTTATTAAATATTTTTAATAGTTTCATGTTTTTAAGACTGAAAGTATACATGTGAACGATATAAGCTTATTTGTGAACTGTAGATTATCAGATGCGGATAAATTTACTGTAAGTTTAGACTTATTTCAGATGAAAAAAAATCAGTTCTTACTACCCGGTGTAGATAACTTTTGTTTTTTATTGTTTAGGCACTTGAAAATGTATGAATACCATTGCCAACATTTAAGTTTCCTTTAAATGAAAAAAATGAAAAAGTGGTTTAAAATATTAATATAAACAAATAGGTTAGGTTATGTATATAATATATAGGACTAGGAAGTTATAGGAACTAAAAAAGACTAAATATGTATGAAAAAATGTTTAATATTATACAAAAAATATAATAAATATGCAAACAATCATTCAGTTTATTATTTACAAACATTTAATGTTTAAATTATTAATATGCACAAAAAAGATAAAGATTAAATACGAATCGTACTGTTGTCATTAAATTAATAATAGACTGAGATGGTAAGAAATAACAATAAATAATTACGTTAAATAATATTGAGTTTAAATTTAATAGCATTTAAAATAAATTGGTTAAGAAAGAAAAAAATCAATTTTGTAGAAAAAATATAAAACATGCATGAAAATATGCGAATGTCAATAAAAATCGACAAAATACGCAGGTTTTCTCTAAAACTAACTAAATAAACGAAATATTCATTTTAAATGTTCAATTTTTAAACTCTCCATCGTGTAGAAATTATTTCTAGCTTGATCTGCTATAAATTCAATGCGTACAGAAAAATATGCAACTCCTATAACTTCCGAGCCTTATATATTAACATTATAATTTAAACCTAACTACCTGCTTCTAAAGTATCACCAATGAGTAAATTTTGTAAATTTGTATGTATAACTATCAACAAAACAAAATACAGTTCATCCCCCCTCCCCCATATGAATAAGGTGAGCACGCCACTGAAAACTACCGTTGTAATAGCGTAGTTAATTTTTAAGTTTTTTTTTTTCAATTGTTTTAAGTTAGTTATAACAGTTGCTACACATCATATGGTTTGGATAGATGGATGTTCCGGGTAATCGATAATCGGGATAGTCTGGTACAATGGGTATAAACGTTCAACGTAGTTTGTAGGTTGTAGGGATTGGAAAGTATATAATATTTAAATGGGTAAAAGTTTTGGAGGTGGGCGGCGTTTTTGAATTTAAAATTCTGCTACGTCATAAAAATATAGTGTGAACACCAATGGTTAAAATGTAAAAATATTTACGGCGCGACAAACTCGAAAACTCGAGCGAGTATATAAATATAATATTACGAAAAAAAATTATTAATAGTAAACAACGAATGACCAGAACCGTAATCTATAAAGGTATACAAAAGTGTCGCTGTAGCCAAGTTTTTTGTTTTAATAATACATACGGCTGTTTAAAAATGACGAATTTGTATTTCAGACATCTGTAGTGCGCCGCCGCTGCCGCTGCCGTTAGTATTATTGATCGGTGCGGCGAGTAGGCGGACACGGGGCGGACCTTAGACGGGCGAGCCGCGGGCAAGTACGGCCCGGGCCACGCGGGGTTTGGCGTTCCGAAAAAACAAAAAGATACAGACAAACTTCGCACGATGGGTATGCCACTGTTGTAGGTGAGAAGTTGGGAAGATAGTAGAGAGAGAATGTAATGTATGTCTGTAAGCAACGATAAACCATTGCTAACGAAAAAACTATTCTGAGCGGAGTTCAGTTGATAGTGTTGCTTTGTTAACAATGTGTAATATGCTATATTATGGTAAAATAATTACATAGGTCTTATATATTTTCTTTAATATTATTTGTTTAATATTGTACCTATTTTACCGTTTTCCTTACGTTTTTTTTTCTCGATTTTTCCCGATTTTGTCCCATTTATAATGGAAATAGCTGGGAAAATCAATCAATTTTAGAAAAAGTGCTTTAATTGAAAATCGGAGAAAAATTGCTAGTTTGAAAAGTTTTTCACAGAAAAAAAAATATAAATAATGAACATCATTGTAAAACCGATACATCCCTCGCTCTGCTTAGAATCTAGAAATAATAACACGAATACCTATAATATATAAAATGAAATATGATAATATTTTTTCGTTATTATGTTTAATTGATTTTCAGTTTTTCGGTATTGACTACTAAAAAAAACAAAATGTTCTGTTTTATTTTTAAAACTACATGGTCATTGGGACCACTAGTTTCGATTGCTGGGCTGTGATAACTGTGATCTCTGTCCGCCACTTGTTATCGACGATGATAAAAATTATAGACCGTAACCTTCGTCCTGGTTTGAATGTTATGTACTCAAGTGTTCTGGATCGAGATCGGCATATAACGTTCAAACCGTACGTTTGTACGGGCGACAGGCGGACGTACAATTAGAATATTCATTTTATATACAAAATTGAATCGTCGTAGATATTGACTACGTTACGTTTCTTATTTTTAATTTAAACTATTTTAAAGAACTATGTTGTTAGGTATATACAGAGTGATCCATTTAAGTAGGTGCACTAGATATCCTGGAAAGTATTTAATTTTTTCAATTTTTTGTTTTTGAAAATTTAAGAAACAAGCTTCTTTAAAATTTAATGCATTCATTATTTTTTGTCACCTTAATTATTGAGGGTAAAACGACTACCTACTTTTGATTTCCAAATGGCAATCTATATTACAAATTTCATAAATAGACAAAGTGTTAGTTTAAATAAATTTCGGTGTTTAAATGTTTGATTTCCATCAACCCATTGACGAGATGTTACACTTTTAAGTTTAACTTTTTAGTATCATTTTTGTGACTGCGCGGCGTGTTAATAATGCACCACTAATTTTCTCCAACCTAAAATTAAAAGTGGAATATCTCGTCAACAGTTTGATAGAAACCAAAAATGCCAACAATCAAATTTATTTTAACTAATACTCCATCTATTTATGGATATTTTAATATAGGTTGCCATCTGAAAATCAAAAGTAGGTAATGGTTTTATTCTCAAAAATAAGAGTGACAAAAAATAACTCAAATATAAAATTGTAGAGCAGCTTGTTTCTTTAATGTGCTAGAAAACAAATTCCATAAAAAGTTAATATTTTCCGAGATAAGGAGTGCACTCACTTAAACCGATCACCCGGTACACTCATACTTAACCTAAATAAATCATAAACGGTAAATGTAATATTAGCGTTATACGTATCGAAATGTCTAGAAAAATATTCTTTATTCGAATCTGTGTTCTTGTTTGAAAAGTATAAACTAAACTCGTTTAAGGTATACGGAGTGGGGGTAAAAATAATTGAAAACGGTATTAAAATAAAGCTCAGACGATTCCATCCCGACGGTTCAAAAAAAAAAAAACCCCCAGAAATCGAATTCACTTAAATCCCCCGTGAAAACGACGACGATTCCCGATAAAAACAATCACCCTGTAAGTGTGTATGTAAGTATTTGCCCAATTTCGCGGATAAATCGCAATAACAACGAGGGGTATTTCGATGATGCGCGAAAAGCAAATAATAACGTAACAATCTCGTACGTATTGGTGACACATGCCGCCGGAAAATTGGAAAATCTCGTATCGCGAGAATTGGCAATTCCGCCTACGTGCGGTTCGTTGTTAAGTAAACGAATTCATGTCGGTACGGTGGTTTTTTTGTTATTTTAAATTTTTGTATTGCTCGATCGTGCGTTATGAAAAGCGATACGGATTTCCGTCCGCGGTTCGCGAAATACTACGCGGCTACGAACGCAACAGACGACAACGGACGGGCGAATTATTTGTTTTTTCGCGAAATTAGATTTGTTTTTTATTTCAATTTTTTTTTTTTTGCCGAACGTGCCGGGACGCGACCGAAAATACGATATTCGAAACGTTATTCCCGTCATTGTAAATTCGTTTTTTTAACGAACTGTGCGCGCTCGGCGCTCCGGCTTTAATAATATCGGGATTTCATCTCCGGGAAACGAGCGGCGGGTACGGACGGGCAGGGTATCATCTCGTTCGGTCGGAAATAACGACAGACCGTCTCGTATTGTTTGCCGACGGACGGGATCCGGGAGGATTTACAATTGTTGTTGCCGGTGATCGAAACTGACACGTGTCGGCTCCGAATCGAAACGCTTATAAAACACAACCAGTCATACGACGACGCGGACGTGCCTACAGGCTGAGTGGGCTTTTGCACCCCGCATTTCCGTCGGCCGCGCCGAACACGAACAAACAATACAAAAACGTTTGACAAACCAATTTAGACACAAACGAAATAATAATCACAGCGCGCGCTATACATATTATACTACTTTTTCAACCGAGTACGACTAATATTATTTTACTGCACAGTTATGCATTTAAAATATTTGTACATTTGCTTTGGTTAAGCGATATCTCCCCTCCCTAATCCACTGTGAAATCCCGGGTACGCCACTGATATAACATTCACGATTACTGATTTACTGACGGACAATTTTACCGAGAGATACCAAGAGTTATCCATTTCCGCCAAAAATGTACCTTTCCCTTCTTCGCCCAATGAAAAAATTTAATCTAATATTCGGGCTGACCTCGAGTTGAGCCCCGAAGGCATGAATTGTGTCCCGGCATATTTTAACGTATACACAAGTTGGGTCCTGACATATTTATTTTATTATTATTTATATTGAAAACATTAGTCTAGGCTATAAGAGTTACCCAGGAGACACCTCGTGTAGATTGACTAGAAAGTTTTCCAAAGAATTTGATTTTTTTGTTACTTTACTCTATTACAATTTGTATAATTATAAAATATTAAAATGATTACTATTATTATTAAAAAAGTATTAAAATTACTATTATTGACAAATATTATTTTCGTATTAAAATAGGTAAATGTTATATAATATAATATTATTACCGCGAACCTAACCCGAGTACCATTAAATAATACCACGGATCCAACTCGATTTTAATTTAAGCGATAAAATATCCAGGGACTCAACTCGAGTTTTCCCAGTATTCGAATATTGATTGACGATCATATCATAAATTATTATTATTATATTATGAAAACAATTTCATAACGTTCGTAAAAAATATACAGTTATGTTTGTACAATGGTGATTAAATAAAATTAAATAAAATAAAAAATATAAATGTCATATTGTTTTATAATATACGTAATACGTTTACTGTAGGTCAAATAATATGACTCATAATATTATCCGTTCTTAAAACAATAATTATATGATATATGTTTTACGAAATGAAATCATATTTAATGATATTTAAATACAAATATGGACATTAAATAGAAATATCAACTGATGCAACAAGCAGAATCATTAGGAAATTACGGTACGTTATAGAAAATGTCTTACGACAAAAAAATGATAATAACATTTAGTTTGAATTTATACAGTAATAAAAAAAATGTGATAATATTTTTGATACATGTTGTATCATAAAGTGTGGTATTAACAAATATTTTTACCTGTATTCAATAATTAATAATAAACTAAATTTGTAACATATATAAATAGAAAAAAAACTCACTAGGTTTTTTTTTTCTTTATGTGTCTAATTAATAATTGTAATAAATACAATTGCCCATTAATATTTATTGGAATATCAGGCTAAATTTTTTCATTTAGTCGAATAGTGAATTGTAGAAAAAAGGGGAAAGGTACATTTTTGGCGGACACCGGCCAAGCCCGTTATAAAGGCGTGCGTTACAAAGGAGAGGTGGGCGGTTTTCAATAAATTGAATAATAGACCGGTGCTATAAAGCTTATAATTATTATTTATTCGCATTTTCTTTTTGATTTCGACAAAAAATCCCGATTTGCCATTATAATGTGATTATTTTTTTTTTGCATGCGCACAAACTAAGTTTTTAGTTTCTACAATTGAAACCGACTATTTTAAAAAGTCTTAGGTTTTTTTCTCAAATAAATAATAATAAAAAAAAAAAAGGTTAAACTTATATGAGGACTTAGCCCAGGGGTTCTGTCCTTGTATAGATTCACGTTCAAGGCATGTATACTTAGTATATTATTAGTATTTAAAAAGAACTGTGCACAGACAGTAGTGTCGCGCGTCGTTGTGCGCTATATATGTTTACGGTATACCTAACGACCTCTGTGTTTATCGCGATCGTTATTGGCAGACATAGGGCCGAGGCGCATAGATGGCGCTGTCTGTTCGTCATTGTAAATTAATAATAATACTGGTTAGTCGAGTCAACTGAATAATAATTATTTTAATTTATTCACTTGTGTAAATCTTACAATTCGGTAAAAATTTGAAACAAAAACGGTTGCCTACGAAAACGCGAACCACGTCCGACGCCTGTGCATAATAAACACGCGTAATAAATTGTTATCAGCGATAGGATTGTATAGGTACCTACAGGACAAAAGAAGCGAGTTTCAAAAGATTAAATACAAAATTAAACGTAATGTAGGTAGGTGTATTGAAAAGTCACGTTCAAACATAATTAATCGTTTGGCTTTATAGCTGGTATAAAAACAAAAACCATACGATTATAGTACGGTTTTATTGAATTTCTAAACGGAAATCGGAATTCAAATAATAATAATTGCCATTACGCAGTTAAAAATAAAGCGAGATAAAGAGCGGGAAAAATAATTTTCCGGAATTCTATTATAGCGTTTTCCTCCCTGCGTAATAAAATATTATCTCCGAATAATTTTAAATAAAGAACGTTTGAAAAAAAAAAAAACGTATTTTTCAATTTGAAATAATAGGAATAATATAAAAGTTTTTTTCGCCGTGAAACGATACACCCGCCTGTATTATCGCCGTTGGCGAATGACAAAAGATAATAATAATACGCGTTTGTCGAAAAGTTTTACGATTTCGAGTCGCCGTAACGCGACGAAATAATGATAAAAATTATCGTCGAGGCTTCGAAGGGTTTCTCTGTTATCCGCGAAGTATGCCCTACAAAGACGACGAATAATCCGGTTACGTTGCGTTGTGTCCGAAAATACAATATAATGCTGAAAATGTTGAAGAAAAATAAAATTGAACATTGTATCAATAATCGAAACGAGAGAAAATGCGAAAATCCAACCCCGAGAAAATTGCAGTCACCATATGTTGTGGAGACTGTATATACAACGGTCAATCGGAACACGACAAAAAGCGCATGAAACCGAGAATAACAATATTGTTGCGTACTATTTTATTTACTATTTCCGGTCATATTTCGTTTCGGCGATCGGTATCTAACTAACCCCGGGATTTTCGGGATAAAATATTTAATGCAGTAACTTGAAAAAAAAAAAAATACGGAATGTTACCACAAAGAAGGTAATACGTACTATTAATTAACGGTAATTAATAATAATCTAAATTATTGTTCAAAAATATATTATAAAAAAAAAATAATCTTCAAAATTTATGTTATTCATCATTACATTTTTTTTTTTTTCTATTATCAATTTCAAACGAAATCCCGAAATCCCAAGATTGTCAATGTGAATATGGTTCGGGTATTCTCTACTCCGGTCATATACAACCGCGTGACTCTGTGCTGTTAATTTTAATATTAGATTGAATTGACCTTTCGTCCAACTTTAAGACAAGACCACTATTTCCGTGTCGTGTCGCAGTATTTTTTTCCGTTATTTCAACTTTTAACCGAGACACGAGTGTTTAGAATATCACGATTCGAAAACTTATCTTTGAGTTTCGAAAATATATTTAAAATAGTTAGTATAGTAATATAATTAAATAGCTAATTATTATCCTAAAAACCTGATCGAGTCATTAATAAGTTAAAGTCATTAATACTATTTAGATACCTATTAGTCTAATTTCCTTCATATTATCGTTTTTACGTTCAGGTTTGTTTGTACATACCTACCTATTATACAAACTAAATGTACCTACCAAATAATTTTTTACTTTTTTGACTAAAAATTAACACGACTATAATTTAACAATAGGTGGGCTATTTAATATTAAATAATAAACACTGAAAATGAGGGCGATAAATCACCTTAATCTCTCTCCCCCCACCACCCGTTCCCGTAAATATACTACCGGTATTAATCATAGTAAAAGTTGAGAATAACATTTAAAATTACAATCGAATTTCCACCGGCGACTGCACAACATGACTGTTTATACAGTTTAATTTTTAATGTAGGTAGGCGCGTAACCTAACCTGTATCTATATAAGTCCGGTCGTATTAAGTTTACACAACTCTACGTTACTGTGCATAGTACACACAATATAAATTTGATTATTTATGTATTGTTGACTCACCCTGTGAATTGAAGAGGACAATACGTATTATTATGATACACTCTGAATCTGAAATGATTTCAAGACTTCAAATTATGACCGCAAACGAATACGGAATAACGCACGGTAACGCCGAATGCACGATGCTGCACGCGGACAGAATATTATCCAACGGAAAAGGACGCGGGCGGCCCACTCGGCGCACAGTGTTGTATTGTCGCAATATCAATTTTATTTCGTTTGGATGTTTATTTTTAAATTGTTTTTTTCCCCGGTATCTGCAGTTATCGGCCGATTTGCGTGTAACCGCATAATCGGTAGAAAAACCAACTATTTTACGCATAGTACATCCAACTATAAATTAGTCAATGCAATTTTAATGCTTCACCTATAATTTATTTTCCACTTAAACTAACACAGACTTTGTTGTGTTTACTATAAATTAGTTGAAACACCTATATATTCAGCAACTATAAAATTGTAGCAAATTTTTTTTCCGTGTAGATCAATTCACTCCAGTATAAAAACAAACAGCGCTGCGGAGTTGTCTTCGCCGAAAGACAATTTTCTTAGTCACGTGGTTGTATGATGGACAATTTTTTTTTTTTTTTCATAATTTAGTGTTATTTGTTTCCTTTCGTTTCCTTTCACGGTCTAAATGGCAGATGTGATTCTAACACATGTTGTATACTGCACGCTAAAATATCTATGATTCACTCTTTGAAAAAAAAAAAAGAAGCATGAGTCATATTATAATATTATATGATTCGAACCATTTAGAACGGCCGTCAGGCCATTTTCAACATTTTATTCTCTCGTATTGAAAACTATACGAAATTGAATAACTCGGGACCAAACGGTTTGTGTTTTTCTTAAATAGATAGGTAGTAGGTTCGATAATTATATAAGATAATTCAACGGACCGCGTGATTATTATTTTTTAATCATCATACTAACGAATCTGTTAATCGTTTTTTTGTTGAAATTACAAAATATTATAATGTATATAAATATTGTGTGATTAATGGCCTTCGGTTTAGGGTTCGGTCACACGAAAATTGTTTCGTTTCAACGAACAGATGGTTTTATTTTTACATTTTATTTATACAGTCTCACAATACCTATAGTTTTTTTTTTTATATTTTCTATAGGCTTCGTAAAAACGTTATATTAACTATTATATTATTTATGAAACAGTGTCATTATAATATTTTTCACGGCAAGCTCGGTTTATGGGCATATAAATATATAATATATACCTACTTAATGTAACAGTATGCCACCCACCATGGCAGTAAACTGAATTTACACTACGAACGTTATATTTTTATTACATAATATAAAAAACTAATAACTTATCAAAAATTTAGGCATTTTTAAACAAAAAAAAAAATAATAAAACCTACTTAAGGGGCTTTACACGTCCACAGTAATAATATGCAATATTGCTTGCGAAAATATTCCTCTCCGTCGCGACGATGGCTAAAAGGCCATTTTTACAAAATAGCTGTTTGTAGATTTTCATTTTCATTTTTTTTTTTTTATATTAAACTATTATATGACTCGTATTTTATCATTATCGTAGTATTTTACAGCTACAGTTCCGTAGTAAACTATATTATAAACCATAAAATATGCTAATAGGACTTAACAATTTACTAGGTACTTTAATTTCATTAAAATATTCATAACGGTAATGTTATAAGTTTTTAGAAAAATATTTCAAATATAAATTACTGTCAGGTGGAAAAAAAACACATTTTAGTAAAACCAATTTAGCTTCGCTTCTTTAGCGCTCTCGAAATCTAAAATTGAATAAAAGTAACAAACAGAGCAGCGGTTTATAACCCGTAAGGAGCCATGGGCAACGTGATACTGGTCGTGGGTTTAAACCGAGGGTCGACAAATTTTAATTTATGCCGATTGGCATCGACATGGAGATTTGGTTACATGACATCATAAATATCTAAACTGGGTAATAAACACATTAATAATAATAATATGAAAACCACACCATTGGTCTCGTTCTGGATAAGTTTTCGACTAGACTATCCAGCAATCGCCAACATTTTACATGATGGGTTATTTGACAATCTTATATACGTGAACGAGCCTTTTCAGCTGTAATTTTTTTCGTAAAATAAATACAGAAATAAATTGAAGGTCGAGAGTGATTCGAGGCTAAAACTGTCCAATTTTAATTTCTGATATTAACTCTATCGTGGGGGACAACTATTGTTAAAAATTCGCATTGAGTTGTTTTAACATTGACCAATTGTTTTTGCTTCGTATACAATAAACTTTTTTTCTTTATAAAAAATTCTTGTTTATTTTTGCTCGTACAGTATGTTTTCCTTATAATTATAATATACATTGTTTTATTCGTGTGTATTATTTTGTGTTTGTATGATTACTTTTTTTACCTTTATGTTAAATTAGTGGGCCTTAAAGGTCTTTTTTGGCGATTCACGCTACTAAAAAGGTCGGGAACTGCTACCCGCTGGTATAGAGGGTAACAATGCGACTGAATTTTTTATAATAATTATAATACTGAATAGCAAATATTTTGAACCGATATCACGGTATACGCGCTAGGCTTTAGGCACGTGCCCTAAGTCCTATAACGGGTATATTATTATGCCGGTTTAAACGTTTATTCCCGTTATATCGTTTCGTAACTAAAATAATAATATAAATATAATACGTAAATATCGAAATCGTCTAAACTGTATAAGTATAATACCCAATATCCGCGGGGCGATCGACTGGTGCAGCATAATAAGGTACCGTTTGTTTGTGCATTTTAGTCTCGTTCTTATACGAGTATTAAATTGTTGTTGCACCGTTATTTATGCTTAATATTATACTTTATCATGGACCCACAGCGATTAGTTCTACAATGGTTTTGAGTGTACACATTTCGATTTTGGTTTGTCCCCCGTAATCGTATTTATTGGAATCGTCAAACCGAAAGCAAACGTCGGCGGTGAGCAGCAGGTTTCCGTCACTACAGAGTCGAATTCTTCCCCAATCCCCTCCCCCCGCTATGTTTTGTTGTCGTTACTCGATTTAAGTTGTCCGTAGGGTGTGTTTTGGAATTTAAAACTCCTAAAAACACTTCCTCGCCGTCACGAACGCATTACATATTCAAAATGTAATTACTACAACTTTATTGGACGAGGGGGAGTCGGTACTTTGTAAGGATAATCGAAACTTAAAAAACATCCTCCTCTTGCAACAATATGCTTGCATTCATATTGAAATTCAAGCCAACTTTAAAAATTTAAATCCTCTTGTAAAAAACTTTATTTCCCGAACTCATTTGGTTGGAAGAGAGCAGCTAGAATTGTTTATGAATATGGAGAAAAAGCTAGTTATATAATGTAAAAGTTTATAACTAGTGTCGGTCTGGTACACCGAAGGCCCCTAGATTATTTTGTTTTAAATTGCCGGAAATCGGTGGATAATATTTCTGAAAATAATAATGGATTTCACGGCGATGCGCCACAAGATATACACATCGCCACGTAGGTTATACATTTTTATGTATATATATATATATAGATGCTTTATTTACAAAAGTGATTTTCAGTGGCATTTCAGTGTACAGTAATTTGTGTACAAAATAATTGGCTCAAGTATCTGTAAATTAATAATTAATGTGTTAAATATTTTATTATTTTACTGTAGTTTGTCAACTAAAGTCTAAAACAAAATACTTATTTAACATGCATTGATACTACATTTAATCTCTGTCCAAAAGACAGTCAGGAAATTCTATAAATCTTGGCCCCTAGACACAAATACGACTGGAGGCTCCGGTGGCCAGGCCGACACTATATAACAGTCACAATACAGTGCAATAGTCTCTAATTTTGGGGAGAATTCGAAAAATAACGAAAATCAAATCTGCTAAAAATCGATATAGGTCGTACGGTAAAGTGGTGGTTCGTGATTAAATACAAATAATTTACCCTGTGTTTGTGTAAATACAATATGATCTGTTGTTATGGACGTTAAAAAGCGACGCGTGGACGATTAACGAGTTTTTTTTTTATGTACAAACGACGACAATTAAAATTTAAAACTTTAAAAAAAGAAAAAGGAACGTGGGCGAGACATTATTAACTCGTGTATGTTGACAGTGACTAATTAAAATTCGTGCGTAATTAGGTTTCAAATCTATTCAAAAATAAATCACGACGACATCGCTTTTGTTTCACCGTGATTATTTGAGTGTAAATACTAAGGTAATGGTGCATTTTAAAAATTCGATAAATTTACCCGGGGCGCGAATAGCTAATTTAAAGTACTTACTTATTTGTCGGAATATTATTTTTTATCGTTTACGCTATACTTTTGTCGTTTATGAAGAAAATCGAAAAAAAACCCTTTCTCCTAAAACGAATAAAACTATTTTTCATTAGTGAATTTTTCGTTTTATACTAGATATATAAAAACCACTCCAATATATGTAAAATTAGTTTTGTTTTTTTTTTTTTTTAATTTAATGTTTCTACTTTATGCGTCTTAGCCGCTCGTATAACGTCGTAACTTCTATAAAGAGGCTATACAGATAAACAAAACGAGCAATTGTAATATTTAACATTGATAACATGAATATATAATATATATATATAATATAATATACTGTAGGTATTATAATAATTAATACGTTCGTCTAAAAACGATAATGTTAAACTATACTGCTGTTCTGGTAATTATTTCGGTATAAGTAAACGCCGACAGTTAAGCCGGACGTTTTCGATAAACAATATTAATAATAATAACAGAACGTTTAAAATGTGTTCTCAAATCGAGCGTAGAAAACGATAACTGTAAAATTATAGTGTTTGGCGTCACGTTATTATAAAGTGTTTTTTTTTTTCAACGTCCGGCCCAGTAGTGATGGTCGCGATTATTAATTTAATAGGTGTATTCAAATGTCCGGCCTCGTATAGATGATTTTTGGCGGTTAACGAACGGTCCTCGGGGTCTTGTACACCAATAAGTATACACACTGCCGAAAGGACGTATTCATTGACACTTCGACCTCGAGTATAATATAATCAACAGTATAGTTGAATATATTATTACCGTTCGCCGCGTACGCGATTTCTGAATAACCGACGACGGCCATGTATCTATAATAATATGTCCTTTATAATTCAGCGA